AAAACATGCCAAACAAGAAGCACCTTAATAAGGTTTTATTACCCTCAGTATAGGTGTGGTTTTAAGGTAAAAAAAACTTTTTTTTTTAACAAAACTCTAAACCTTTAAAATTAATATAATTAAATTATTATATAAGATAATTTGATTTAACTATCTCTATTTGATAAATCTGAGAATCATGTAAGGATGAAAAAATCTGTTTATGTATATATATATCTTTATTTTATTGTGGCTGTTGTCATGTCAGTTAAAAAGAAATTTATTTTAACAGTTAAAATTAAAAAAAAGTAAAGGTTATTTGGTCAAGTATGGTTTAGACTGGTCGAGTACTGTTCAGACCTTTGGTCGAGTATGGTTTAGACTGAAAAAATAGGTCGAGTACAGGTCGAGAATGGGTTAAGACTGTTTCAGACTGGTCGAGTAATAGTTCAGACTATTTTCAATGGCAAATATAAGGGTCAAGTACAAATCAGTACAGTCGAGTATGGTTAAGACTGGGGTCGAGTAATGTCCAGTAAAATTCAGACCAATTCAGACTGGTCGAGTAAAAATCAGTACAGTCGAGTACAGATATAGGCCATTTCAGACTTTTACTGGTTTGTAGTGTATCAATTATAGGTTCAAGAGTTTAAGACTCTTATTGTTTTGATCTTAAAAAATATGATTTATTTCATTCCCGCCAAAAATAAAACACAAGAATGAAAAACGTTTCAAGTATTAAAAAATATCTACCAGTGATTTTTTCATAAAAATTTCAAGAAGGAAAGTGCCATGTGTACTCTTCAAAATAAAGCAAAAAAATGTATATGTCACCGACCTTTCAAAAAAGTTATGATTAATTTTCATGTTTTTTTTCTCGTTCGTTTTGAAGAAAAGAGTTGTCTTTCTTCAGAACATTGAATCTGACGTCATAGTACAAGTTTTCCTTGCTGGCGCACTATTTGAAAAAAATTGCAAATTGGATGTTTGAAACCCACATTTAAATTTTCAAGAATCAAAAATAACAACTATATTCACCTACTTTATTATCCGGTTATACAAGAGATCACATGTATGTATCAGTATCAGATCTCATGATGTTGTTGCCGCACAAAATTAACCTTCAGAAACACCATCCGTCGGAATGAAAAATTGTTCGAAATAACCTTTCTTTTACGACGCTTTAGAAAGGAAAGTATGTTTTTGTCCTCTCCCTCTCATTAGCAAAATCATTGAAAATAAAAAGAGAAATGAAAGATGACACTGGTTAACTTACAGACTATTTGACTATTTTTTGTCGCGTCAATTTCAGAACTTTGCCCTAGCGCACTCTTTCGCTACTGTTGACAGACGGACACACATTAGCATGGACGGACTTCTTTATACCAGTATGTGTGTTCCGATTAAGACGAGCGTATACAAATTATTCCATCTAGTTTGTGGATTCATTATTTCTGAATATTTAAAATATAAGAAAATTAAAATTATAGGTATAATATATGAATTAAAGTTTTTGATTCTAAAACGTTTTACATCCGTTTAACCTATTATAAAATACGATCCCCGTTATTACTACCTCACGTGTTTTGAATAAACGAGACAGTAAATATAAAACAAATAAGTTTTTAATTCAAAAATTGATTTAGAATCTAAGAAATAATTTTCCGTTGAAAACTATAAAGTATTTCTCAAAACAGGATGAAATATTATGAATCTAAATAGCTCATTTTGGAAATAAAAACAAAGACAAGGTATGTATAGATTGCCGGCATTGAAAATCGAAATTTGTTTTCAATTTTTCCGGTCATTGTAGCTTTTTGAAAGTGAGAAATTTTATGTTGGATCTTATTCTTGAAGCAATTGTTTTTGTCATAAGTTAAATTTACAACAAGTTTAGTTTTAAAAACTGTAAATTTTTATTTTAATTCACATTCACTGAGTATATTAATTTCTTATATTTTTTGCCTTAAGCTTCTATGAGATTGGGCGAAATCTTTATCATTTCTCCTTGAGGCAATTTGAAATGAAACAAATGACAAAAGACAATGAACCTTTATCATTTTTATTTTTACTATAAGATTTTGTCAATTAAGCAGTATAGATAAAATTTAACTTCATTGCAAGATCACCATTATTTTACGAAAATCTTAAAGAAATAAGTTAATCTCAATATGCATACGTTGCCAGTATATCGAAACTTCTAGAAAGTATTGTTTATCGGCCTAACCTTCTGAAAACTCAATTTTGAAAATCACATATCAAGCTAAAGTTCTAAGCGTTAGTCATATAAATTTACCAGTGTAAAGTTACACGGGCGTAAGAGATTTGCGCCGATTTAAAAAAAAAATCGATCTTTAATTTGCGCCGATTTGATTCTTTCATTAGCGCCAATTTTTTTTTATCACTAGCCCCGATACTATATTTGCTATACGAGTAACTACATGTACATGTAGTAAACCTAGAACGTATATTGCATTGTAATATATGGATATAAACAGTGTTCCCTTATGTTTAAGATAATTTTGGTCATATTGTTCGAGAACTTCGTTTTGACACATGAAAGAAAAGATGGACTTCGTTGTTGGCAAGTACAACAAGTATAGAAAAGATGAAATGAAAAGAAAGGAATATATCAGATGTGTGGCATATAAATTCTCGACAAGATAAGAATTCATTGTACTAGTATTACATTTTTATGGATTTTATTGTGGTGCTTTGAAATGCTGTAAATAGAATTTTACTCCGTGATTTTAGTGGATGTAAACAGAGTGCACAAATATCTTTTAAATTGACTTATCCTGCTCGAAATTCTACTCCCACGTCCCCTTTGTGAGAAGGGGACAACAGCTATATACATGTTGTAATTGACAATTCATAACATATGTACAACTGGCTAACGGAAGAGGTTTATATGATAAATAAAAAAAATAACTTTCACCTATAATTTACCTGTACACAATCGGCGCAAATGAAAGAAAAAATCGGCAAGTGAAAGAAAAAAAGTGAAATGCAGTTCGGCGCAAATGTAAAAAGCTGAGTTCAAAATTTATATTTTTATTATTATTTTTAATAGAACGGAGGTTACAGATAGTGTAGTATCTTTTGTGTCCATTTGTGTTTAATTTCCACTAGGTATCAGCGCGATGCTTAATTCCAATTTTCTTGGAAGACGTAGTTTTAAGCGTACACCATGTTGGAATCCGTGAAAAACGCGAAATAGGACGTTATTAATTGACGTTTTTTTCATGGCTAGAAACAACGTCATAGAGCTTTTATGTCACTACCAAGTTGCGTTAGTTGATGCGCATCAACAATAGGCTGTTTGGTCTTTAACTTTGACCACTGAACCATGAAAATGAGGTCAAGGTCAGAAGACACCTGCCAGCTAGACATGTACACCTTACAATCATTCCATACACCAAATATAGTAGACCTATGGCATACAGTATAAGAAAAACAGACCAAAACTCAAAAACTTAACTATAACCACTGAACCATGAAAATGAGGTCAAGGTCAGATGACACCTGCCAGTTGGACATGTACACCTTACAGTCCTTCCATACACCGAATATACTAGACCTATTGCTTATATTATCTGAGATATGGACTTGACCACCAAAACTTAACCTTGTTCATTGATCCATGAAATGAGGTCGAGGTCAAGTGAAAACTGTGTGACGGGCATGAGGACCTTGCAAGGTACGCACATACCAAATATAGTTGAACTATTGCATATAGTATTAGAAAAAAAGACCAAAACTCAAAAACTTAACTTTGACCACTGAACCATGAAAATGAGGTCAAGGTCAGATGACACCTGCCCGCTAGACATGTACACCTTACAATCATTCCATACACCGAATATAGTAGACCTATGGCATACAGTATAAGAAAAACAGACTAAAACACAAAAACTTAACTATAACCACTGAACCATGAAAATGAGGTCAAGGTCAGATGACACCTGCCAGTTGGACATGTACACCTTACAGTCCTTCCATACACCGAATATACTAGACCTATTGCTTATAGTATCTGAGATATGGACTTGACCACCAAAACTTAACCTTGTTCACTGATCCATGAAATGAGGTCGAGGTCAAGTGAAAACTGTCTGACGGGCATGAGGACCTTGCAAGGTACGCACATACCAAATATAGTTATCCTATTACTTATAATAAGAGAGAATCTAACATTACAAAAAATCTTAACTTTTTTTTTCAAGTAGTCACTGAACCATGAAAATGAGGTCAAGGACATTGGACATGTGACTGACGGAAACTTCGTAACATGAGGCATCCATATACAAAGTATGAAGCATCCAGACCTTCCACCTTCTAAAATATAAAGCTTTTAAGAAGTTAGCTAACGCCGCCGTCGCCGTAGCCGCCTCCGCCGGATCACTATCCCTATGTCGAGCTTTCTGCGACAAAAGTCGCAGGCTCGACAAAAATCAGTAACTGGTTCCTAGTGCAATGATCATTGGATTTCATAAATAGTATGAACTATCCATTCAATACAATTTAAATAAATGCAGAATTTCTTAAAGTTAATAATCCTCATATACTACATCGAATATTTAGCTTACAAATTTTCTAACTGAGATTAATGTAAACCTTCTTTAGGCTTGCCAATAAGTCTTTTTGTTAAAAATGACTAGTCAACTCGAAAACAAAAAACACATGTTAAAACAAGAATAAATGTTTATTTGCCACCCAGACTCACCAACAAATAAATTTGAAGCTGATGTAACCAAAGCTTCATGGTAAACTACTTTAAACCAATACTTTCGCCTGATGTGGGACTGAAGATTTAAAAACAGACAGACACACAGACCAGAATACAACATGACTGACAATATCGTAGCCTGGGCATAAATAGTAAACAATTATTGTATACTGTGCTTATGAACAGGCACATGCAAATTTTAGGAATTGTATGAAACCTAGATTGACATCTAATATGAACAAAGTTACTGATAGTTTCATTTGAAATTATTCAGCTGATTAATAAAATGAAGTCTTTATTGTATTTCTTATTAGCACAATATAATCTGCATACAAGTAATATACAGTAAATAATACAAAATATTGCACACACAATACCAAATGCAAGTTATTTTTGTGTTTTTGAGATAAATACTAAAAATTTACATTTAAACCTAACACCAACATTTAAGCTACAGTGTTTGGTCATTTTTATCTTTACCCATAGAACAGTTTTTTTTCCTACATTAAATTGCTTTTTTTCTCCTTGGTCCCCCCTCTTTTATCTACTGCTTCTAGTTCATATCTCCATTAGGGCTGGGTTCCCTCCCCTTTATCCCTGTTTCAATCTAATCAATTTATATTTCCATGATCCCATTCAGATATCAAAATATTATCTTAAGATAGTAAAGCTTCCATATAATCGTTACTTGGAATGATTTATATTATAATAGCACTATCAATATAATAATTACATAATGTAAAAATGTAGACATTCACCTTCAAATATTTATTCATTAATATATATTGAACTTGCAAAAAATAAAGTTCAAAAATAAATAACAGCTTTTTGTAATTGTTAAGGACAAACTACAAAAAGTCATACACTAAACAATTATAAATTAATTATAAACACATTTTTCCAATCTCCATGTTTTACCACATGGTTGCCTCGCGTGCATTCACCCAACATCATTTTCACAACTGTTTTAAAGGTCAAATCAAAATTAATACATGTGTTAATTAACATGATGCTGTAAATTTCGAAACCTGTGTGTGCATTTTTTAATGCATATAATATAATTCGAACTAAATTTGTAAATACAAATAATATAGATGTTGTACTCAAATTCAAGACTAGACTTGGAAAAAGAGATTTTTAACATTCACAATAAAATCAAAATCATTTATAAATTTATAATTTAAATTGAACTTTTGCTGCAGGTATAATTTACATATATACATATATTTATGCAGATAGAAAAGAAGATATATCAACATTTTATTACCGTTTTGATTTATAACATCTGATTCATAAAAATTCATAAGGGTTCCGCAGAACCCAGAGTCTCGCCTACTTTTGCTGTTAGTCGCAGGCTCATAAGAAAAGGGGAAAAAATTATAAAAAATTTTCCTCTAGATACTATCTTTTGATTGTAAGAAGCTTCCATCCAAGTTTGCAAAAAATCCAGGATGGTTTATGAATCTAAAAAATGTTTTAAAAACTTTAACTTTAACGGAAAAACATGAAATAAATTTTTACAAAATTTCCTTCTAGATACTAGCTTTTGTCATAAACTAGCTTATGTCCAAGTTTGGTACAAATCCAGGATAGTTTAAGAAAGTTATTAAAATTTTAAAAACTTTAACCACAGAGTGAATGTAATTTTAACTGGCAGAAAAACTAAGTCCATTTCATTTTATAAGTAAAATACGGATAAACAGGATTTTTTTTTTACAAAATTTACTTCTGGATACTATCTTATGATCATGAACAAGCTTCTGTCGAAGTTTGGTAGAAATCCAGGATAGTTAAAGAAAGTTATTAAAATTTTAAAAACTTTAACCACAGAGTGAATATTTGTGGCCGCCGCCGCCGATGACATGTAGGATCGCTATGTGTCGCTTTTGCGGCAAAAGTCGCAGACTCGACAAAAACTCCACTTTCTTTTTATGATAGTGTTGTCCTACTACCTAATGTTTTTTATCAAGAACATGCAGCATTCAGATTTTGGAAAAAAATGCATGTAGTGTAGACATGCTTCTTGCTTTAAATATGTTACGTCAATTGCTAACTTATTTTTGAAAACTTACTGACCATACCAAACCTGCATTCAACTCTTCTATTTAAAGTTAGTATAGATATATATTCATATTAAATAATGATTAATACCCAATAGAATTAATCAGATAGTAAAGGATTTACACGTAGATTACCATACATGAATGGTGACACATACTTCAAAATGGTAACCTGTTTTCATATGCTATGAAAATTAGTTACAACACCACATTGAATTTCTTTTTACCAATTGAAAACCACAAATTAAACATTTGGACATGACATATTTAAGTAAATATACATTACCTAATCTTTCATTAAGGATGGTTGTAAATGAGTCACAATAATAAATAATCATTTTAGTTTTACAGTATTTACTACTAATGCCTCTTATAGAATGCTTGGAGCACCTTTCCAACGTTCTTCTATGCCCAATCAGTGACATATACATATATATACCCTTATTCTGAACATAAAAATCACCATAATAAGTCTTTCTCCAAATCTCCAGAACTTTCCAATTGTTTTTGCTGCAACATTCGTATTTGAACTTTGACTGCTAAACAAATCATCCTTTCTTCATGAATTTTATTGCACAAATCAGCATTCTTCTTCTGAAATATAGATTGAAGCCCATTTAAGACTATAACAATTTAGAAATTAAGATCATACAATTCTGACAGAAGTTTTTTTTTAAACATGCATGTGGCGGTGATGTTGATGAAATTCTCAATTAATATCATTAACAGAACCAATTTTTCTGCGCCATGATGTTTGTCAGCTATTCCAAATTCCCTTATTCATAACTTTTTTTAAATCCCCCTACAGTTCAGTCTATGTATGTTCTGCAGATTCAGAGTTTGTGAAAGTATCATGGGTTTTTTTCAGACAAATTATGGATAGGATTTTTCTAGTATGAATAACACATGGTTCTAAAGTTTGCTGAAATTTGTAATAGCAACACAAATGGTTACACATGCAGAGCAGAATCTGCTTACTTTCCAGAGCACCTGAAATCACCTCCAGTTTTTGGAAGGGTAAAGGTTTGAATTGTTTTACATATGTCGTTTTGGGGCCTTTTATATCGGACTATGTGGTATGGGCTTTGCTCATTGTTGAAGGCCATACAGTGTCCTATGGTTGTTACTTCTACATCATTTGGTTTCTGGCAGAGAGTTGTCTCATTGGCAACCATACCCCACATCTTCTTATTTTTATAAGTGTTGCTCATTCTCTATTTTTTATGAAGTATTTTATAGACTTTTTTTTTGTTGTAATTTTTTTTCACTTTTTCCATGTTGTTGTCCAATTCTTTTTTACATATTAAATTTGATTGTCCCTTTGGTATCTTAGCCTCTTTTGCCCATCATTATTTAAGCATTACTGATATAAGTGTATATGGCACAACAAATAAGATAATAATGAAATTTATTTACTGTTGTGTACATAAAAGTGATAGTACTATGTTTAATATTTATGATAATAGAGAATAGACATGTGATTATAAATATTGAACAGGTCAGATTTATAAAATAAAAAAAATTATCCATATGTTTTTGTAGTAGGAGAAACAGATTTTATATCGGTTAAGAAATTTGGAGTTTTGGTGATGAAAACTAGAAAATCTGCTGACAATTCATATTACAATGTATTAATGTTGGGGAATAGGTATTGTGACCTTGATCTTTAACCAACTGACTAAAAAAAATCTACAAGAGGTCTTGTTTTTGTAAGGGACATTCTTTTTTGGTTGAAAAGATAAAATGGAAACTAGAATTATGGCAGAATGTGAGTCTACCAGTTGCTGCTGTGAACTTGACCTTGACCTAGTAACCCCAAAATTAAAGGACTTTTTCCTCATGCAATGGGCCATTATCAAACCTAATTTGATATAAAAAAAATAGTTCAAAGGTGACATCCAGAACCAAACATTTTACACAAATTTTAATCTATGACTAGACAGACTAGCTGCTGTGACCTTGTCTTTGATTGTTTGACAATAAATTTACAAGAGTTCTTTATAGGAATTATCAGACGTAGTATGGAAATGTTATAGGTTATGGCTTAATGTAATGTAACCATCCTGCTTATTATAAATAAAAATATTGCAAAAATAAGAAGCTGCTGAACCAACGACTTTGTGGTGAAGTGAAGGTAGAGTCACCAAAGAGGATACCCGATGGTATGCAGGGTTGTCAATAAAAATAATTAAATAAAATACCGCTGGATTGACAACAACACTTTAGTGAACTGCAAGTTTTATTGTGTCGACTAGTTTCGCCGATTAGATCGGCGTCTTCAGGACAAATTATATAGAAATTACAATCCCTGAAGAATAAAAAAATGGTATCTTAATTTTAACATCATAATGTGTTTACTCCATTGTCTTTGTTGTTCCTGGTTACCAACAAGGTAATTTTAATTTACTACCTTTATGTACATACATTTGTATTTCTTTCAATTCATTCATACATTGGTAACCAGGAACAACAAAGACAATGGAGTAAACACATTATGACGTTAAAATTTAGATACCATTTTTTTATACTTCAGGGATTGTAATTTCTATATAATTTGTCCTGAAGAAGCCGATCTAATCGGCGAAACTAGTCGACACAATAAAACTTGCAGTTCACTAAAGTGTTGTTGTCAATCCAGCGGTATTTCAAATATTGCAAAAAGAATAATATTTTAAGTATGGTACATGCTAGATTTAATGATAATGTGAGTAACTGAATAATGTAATGATGGCTCATTACCTTTGTCACATAAATCAGTTTTACATGAATTCTACAACAAACAATTTCTAACTTTAATCATTCAATATCCTACCTTTTATAAATTTCAGAGTATTTAATTGCAGGTTTAAAAGGATAGGATCTTTCTTCAAAAGAAACCTGATATTTGTTATGGCAACATGTTGCCTATATTTTATGCAAGGACAACAAAATGAAGTTGTTTTACCAGTATGTAACCTTAGGGAAATTCTAAAAAATAGTAAACTTGGTTAGTAAGGGATTTTTATTTTTTCAAAAAAAATATTTTAGCATGAGCAGATGCTAGGTACATTTACTTGTTTGAATATGGAATAGGGTGGATATCTAAGAGATCAACTGTAGTTTGTTCACCTGCCTGGAAGAATTCTTCTACAACAATTTGAGTAATGATTTTATCCATTCAATAATGCATTATGCAAAGAACAAAAGTAAAAATCAATGCTTTGGCACTGAATTTTTACCCCAATTTACTTAATTTATGCTTTAAGTTGTTAAATTAAAAAAAAAGATCCAATACTGGAAGGTCTGAAAAAGATGAACATCTTGTATTTTTTAGTTCATAAATAAACAAGGGTTCAGTCAAATGTCAGTTGGATAACTCAAACGGTTTTTTAATTTTTTATTTAAAATTTTACAATTGTAAATACATCAGAAGATACAGTACCATCTGAGTCAAATTAAAACCCTGAGGACAAGAGAGAGAAAAAACCCAATAAAACACACTAAAAATAAACCAAAACTACAACACAAACAAGAAACATGCATACAGGCTATAAAAACGAAAAGTTTTGGGAAATATGAACTCAGATAAACAATGTAGAGGATATCTGTTTTTTTACATGTGCACATGATATGAGACATTCTGCGAGCCTATTTGATTTAATTGTTTGTCTGGTCACGCTTGCTACTTGCATATTGGTGAGTCTTAATTTATTTAAATCTTACCTCAATATTTACCCTTTTAACCACATATAGTATCTTCATACCAATATACTAATAACAAGTGCGGATCCATACATTTTAAAAGGAAGAGGGGGTTCCAACACATGAAAGTCATATAAAAAGGGGGGGGGGGGGGGGTTCCAACCGTATGTCCCTATACAAAAGCATTAGTTGTCAAACAAAAAGGGGGATTCCAACCATATGTCCCTATACAAAAGCATTAGTTGTCAAACGAAAATAATATTATTGTACATATTTAAATAATTACCTCTAGCGATTCATTGTCCTCCAACAGATCATTGAGTATTTCTTGTAGATCTTCCTCATCCTCACTATCAGAGCTGGAGTCTGATGTAGAGCTGTACTCCTCCAGGTCTGAGTCCTGACGTAGATATTGTAACTCTGTAATCTCTTGTTGTAATCTATCTATCTCGTTCTTCTCCGTCTCTATTTTGGTTCTGAGTTCACCCTCTGTAAAACATAACATTGTCGTAAGAGTTGATCATTTGAAGTGGAATTCTATATGCAGACTCATACAAATAAAATATGTACAGTAACAGTATACAATGATAAAATCTACTTAATATAAAAATAAGGAGATATGGTATAATTGCCAATGAGTCAACTATCCAACCGAGTTCAAATAAAGTGGATGTAAGCAATTATAGGCAACCCTCTGTAAAACATAACTTTGTTTTAAGTGCAAATTACTTGATGTGGATTTCTATGCAGACACATACGAATAAACAGCAACAGTATGTTTCAATGATAAAATATACTTTGTACATCAGTTATTTCAAATTTAGGACAATATCAGTGGACCATTTATGAAACTAGAGGCTCACATGAACATGCATAGATCATAAGCCAGCCAAGTATAATGAGTAATAATATAATATCATCTTATACTCAAGACATCCTGGGTTCGAAAAACCCGGTTGGGTCAAACCAAAGACTTTAAAATTGCCATTTGCTGTTTCTCTGCTAAGCACTTGGCATTAAGGAGTCAGAGCAAGGGATGGTCAACTTGGAGTCAGAACAATGTGTAACATGTCTTCCTGTAGACTGTTACCTTGTTAATTAGCACATTAAGAATTTGACTCATCGTGTCGATCTAGTACAAAACAGGGGTCATATTCATATTATAATAGCATGTTCTTGTCCTGAATATGTATTTAATTTGCCACAGGTCGTTAAGCAGCTATCATCATCTAATAAGTATACTGCAAAAAACACTGGAGATATTAAGGGATATCTTGTCATACTGATTTTCTTTATTTAAAAACTGTAAATTGTCTTTAAAATGATTTTTTCTGGTTTTAAATTCCATTAATTAGGGTTGCTGTCTAATTAACAATGATTAATGATCACCCAATAACTTTATATCTAGAAAAACAAAGGATATGGGGTATCCATCTATAACACAAAAGCAGTATATGCACAGCAAAAAACACACAAAAAGCAAAGGAACAGCGCTTTTATTGCTGTTCTTCATCTCAAAGTCACAGTGAGGCCTTCAATATGAAGCAAAACAAACCTCTCACCTCACTGCAAATCTAAGACAGCACCTAGCACCGGCTTGAGCGGAATTCTTTGCAAAAATAATTTGGATAGATTTTGTAAGATGTAACACCACCAAATCAGGCACGGTCAAAAAGAACATACTGGAAAGAAGCACATATCTAAAACAAAAAAATCCCTGTGCATAGGTGTAGGCACTAGTTCATACACAGTAGGACAATAAAACAGAACATTACCAATAGCTATAAGTTCTTCCTCCTCCAATTTTACTCTGTGTTCTTCTTCTTGTAGTTCAACCAATTCTTCATCTTCCTCCATGAACACAGCTAAAGAAAATAAATGTACTTAAGGTAGATGTGGGAGAATTTTTCTAAGTATTTTCAAAAATATTATCAAAAATATGGGTCACCAAGCTTTTTTTCTAGCTACAGGATGTGCATAATTGTCAGATTTTGTATGTACTATACATGGAAAAAGCACTTGTGTGTGAACCGAAAAAAAGTAAACAATAGATTATAAAGCAAAATAGGAGACAATATCTCTGTCAATGTGCTTTCAGAAAATAAAAGATCAAGTTAAGAGCGCACATGCTGAAATTTCTGATCTGGATTGAATGGGGTCAAGGTGAGATGAACCTCACCAGACAAACAGGTACACCTTACAATCATTCCATACATCAAATGTAGATACACCTATAACTAATGCTAATGGTATCTTAACTAGATATGGACGATGCCCCATGTTGTGTTGTCTGTAAGACACAAATGATGCCACCAAGTTCAACTTCCCGTTATTGATTAAATATTTGACAATACTAAACTAGAGACTCTAAAGAGCCTGTGTCGCTCACCTTGGTCTATGTGCATATTCAACAAAGGACTCTCTCCAACATTGTAGGCGAGAATAGAATTCATGACAAAAATCTCTGTTTTGTTCATCTTGTACATGTTGTATTGCTGATCATTTAGTCTGTTTAGTGTCCTTCTATAGCTATCTTCTTTAGTTTTTATAAAAATAAGGAGATGTGGTATGATTGCCAATGAGACAACTATCCACCAAAGTTCAAATGAAGTGGATGTAAGCAATTGCTCATAACACCAAAGAGGGTAAAACAAATCCTTATTTAAGGGCAATCACTCCTATAGTGACAGTCGTACTGTTGTGCGTTTGTTTTTTCTACATTGGCTAGAGGTATAGGGGGAGGGTTGAGATCTCAAAAACATGTTTAACCCCGCCGCATTTTTGCGCCTGTCCCAAGTCAGGAGCCTCTGGCCTTCGTTAGTCTTGTATCATTTTAAATTTTAGTTTCCTGTTTATAATTTGGAGTTTAGTATGACGTCCATTATCACTGAACTAGTATACCTTTTTTGTTTAGGGGCCAGCTGAAGGATGCCTCCGGGTGCTGGAGTTTCTCGCTGCATTGAAGACCTATTGGTGGCCTTCAGCTGTTGTCTGCTCTATGGTCGGGTTGTTGTCTCTTTGACACATTCCCCATTTCCATTCTCAATTTTACTAACTATATCAGCCAAATTTGACTTGTTAGGAGATCTTGCCTTGCTGATCATATTTGTGATTTAAAGTGTCTATCTATTATAATTTTTTAGATGTAAAGCAAAACGCAAAAAAAATGGTAAAAATCGTCATTAAAAGGCAATAACTCCAATAAAGAGTCGTCAGACGATTTCCTCCATAATGTCTCAATTGAAGATCTTGTCTTGCTGATCACTTTTGCTTATTTAAGTTTCTATATATCTATTTTTTTTTTTTTTAACATACATAGCAAAAACGCAAAAAATTGGTAAGAATCGTCATCAAAGGGCAATAACTCTAATAAGGAGTCGACTGATGATTTCGACCATGAGACTTATTTGTAGAACTTGTCTTGCTGATTATTTTTGCATTTTAAGGTTTCTCTCTATCTATTATTGTTTTTAAGATAATAGGCAAAAATGAAAAACAATGGTAAAATTTGTCATTTAAGGGCAATTACTCCTATAAGAAGTCGTCTGACAGTTTTGACGTATATGAACAATTGGTTGAGCTCAACATTCTGAACATTTCAGATTTTCTCTATTTATAACGGTTTTCGAAATAATAGACAAAACTTGCATTTTACCCCTACATTCTATTTTTAGCCATGTCGGCCATCTTGGTAGACAGACAGGGTCATCAGACACATTTTTTTAAACAAGTTACCCCAATGATGATTGTGGCAAAGTTTGTTTAAATTTGGTCCTTTAGTTTCAGAGAAGAAGATTTTTGTAAAAGTTAGTGACGACAGACGACTTCGACGCACGACGGACGCAAAGTGATGAGAAAAGCTCACTTGGCCCTTTATCTTTTTTATTGCATTAGGGACTTAAAACGGTAGTAATACAAACTATGTTTTCAATTATATAGCAAGTGAGAAAGAAATGAAGTCCAACTACAGGTTTTTGTGAATATCTAACATCCCCCTTTCTGTCTTTTAGAACAACAAAAATGACAAAGTCCAAAACCTGGCATTTTGAGAATATTTGAAAAAAAATCAAAATCCTGTGACATGCACAATTCCATTGTGTGTACAAACATCCTACAAAATATTCAAGCTGTAGCTCAAAAACTGTAGGAGGAGATATCCAGACGGACAGACAGGGGCAAATTAATATGCCCCTCAACATTTTGTCGCAGGGGCATAAAAACCAAACAAACAAGGAAAACTTAATATTGACCAATGAACAATGAGAATGTGGTCAAGATAAGATGCAGCCTGTAAGACAGACATGTACACATTACAATAAATCCATACCCCAAATTCAGTTTATCTATTGATTACAGTATCTGAGAAAAGAGCCTAACCATAAAAACTAACATTGACTTATGACATGAATGAACCATGGAAATGATGTCACGGTCAGATGAATCTGGGCCTGCCGTCATTTGGTCTCTTGTTGTTTTATACATACATGTACCATGAAATATTAACATTTACCAATGAACCTAGAAAATAATAAATTGCTGGTATTATGTGATACCTGTACCTTATGAAAACAACAATATATAAAATCTACATCATACATACTGTCAGACTCCTGAACATTTATAAACTCAGCCACATCTTGTTCAGCAGTAGTCACTTGTTCAGTTAGGGACTGTTGTGGGAGATGTGATTTCACTTCATCCTGAACTTCCTCTTTAAGATCTTGAACTGCCTCAGTAGAATCTGTGGCATCTGCATCAACTGCAAAGTGAAAAATAAACTAATATGGTGTGTAATTGGATACAGAGTTGTGCTGGATTTCCAGGACTTTGGTCATGTCTAAAAATCTGAGTTCCAACTTGATATGAAGCTTCTTAACAAAGCCCAATCAAAAATATACCAACTTCCATGCAGGTCTAGTAGTCAAAAGAAAAGAGGTATGGCCAGATATTCTTTTTGTATGGAGTATTGAATATTCTACAATTCAAACAATTGATATGCCATTATAAACCAGCCGTTTAGTGGTATACTGTACTCAGGGAATACAACATGTTTACAACTTTAAGGAAGTAAACTTGACTGAAAACAAATCTTAACTAAAGATCCTTTTTTTAAATACTGTAAAAACATATTATAAATGTCACTAGTCTAAAGCATTTTTTCTGGATTTACCTTCATTAGTATACCCAAAGACAAAAATAGGGATATTTTTAATGTAGTCATTTTTCATTATAGTGCCAAAATCAAAGGCACCAATGAAAAAAAAAACGTTATCAAACGATCAATGAAACATTTACGATAATGATGATGAGAAAAACAATATCAGCATTGATAATGACTGAACATTTAAATCAGTTTATAAACCATGTACTGTGGAATCATTATTATTCGTGGGAGACCAGTTTTCATGGATTCCGTGGTTACAGGTGAACCACAAATTTAAATAATTGAATTTCAAATTGTATGCAGACTTTGGCACAACCATGAAATCAAATATCGAAGAAAATGCAAGTTTTCTTCAATCAATGAAAATCTGTACCCACGAAAATAAATGAATCCACAGTATATTTAACTCAATTCTAAATTGGGGCCTCACTGGCTGATCATGAGTGGTCTACGTAGTTTAACTACTGTATCACAAACCTGTTATTAATGAGGAAGTGAGTTCGTACTTTCAAATGGCAGGTGAGATCTATTCTAACCTTTATTGACTAGGATAGTTAGTTTTCCTGCCAAAGTGCTAAAATTGGCATTTAACACCAATAATCAATCAATCAATAAATTTTATGAATGAATTTAATGAGCGAGCCACTCTTTTCTTCCTATTTCTAATGCTACATCCTCCTCTATAGTTCCTGCATCAAGTCTTCACTGAACTCTCTAGACTGTATATCTTACCTGTAGATTCAGTTGATGGTTCCTTGCTTATCTCCCTTACATCTACATCCTCCTCTAAAGTTCCTGCATCACTGTCTTCACTGACCTCTCTAGCCTGTATATCTTACCTGTGGATTCTGTTGGTGGTTCTTTGCTTATCTCCCTTACATCTACATCCTCCTCTATAGTTCCTGTATCACTGTCTTCATTGAACTCTCTAGCCTGTATATCTTAACTGTAGATTCTGTTGATGGTTCCTTGCTTATCTCCCTTACATCTACATCCTCCTCTATAGTTCCTGCATCACTTTCTTCACTGACCTCTCTAGCCTGTATATCTTACCTGTGGATTCTGTTGGTGGTTCTTTGCTTATCTCCCTTACATCTACATCCTCCTCTATAGTTCTTGCATCACTGTCTTCATTGAACTCTCTAGCCTGTATATCTTACCTGTAGATTCTGTTGATGGTTCCTTGCTTATCTCCCTTACATCTACATCCTCCTCTATAGTTCCTGCATCACTGTCTTCACTGAACTCTCTAGCCTGTATATCTTACCTGTAGATTCTGTTGATGGTTCCTTGCTTATCTCCCTTACATCTACATCCTCCTCTATAGTTCCTGTCTTCACTGAACTCTCTAGCCTGTATATCTTACCTGTAGATTCTGTTGATGATTCCTTGCTTATCTCCCTTACATCTACATCCTCCTCTATAGTTCCTGTATCACTGTCTTCATTGAACTCTCTAGCCTGTATATCTTACCTGTAGATTCTGTTGATGGTTCCTTGCTTATCTCCCTTACATCTACTTCCTCCTCTATAGTGCCTGTCTTCACTGAACTCTCTAGCCTGTATATCTTACCTGTAGATTATGTTGATGGTTCCTTGCTTATCTCCCTTACATCTACTTCCTCCTCTATAGTTCCTGTCTTCACTGAACTCTCTAGCCTGTATATCTTACCTGTAGATTATGTTGATGGTTCCTTGCTTATCTCCCTTACATCTACTTCCTCCTCTATAGTGCCTGTCTTCACTGAACTCTCTAGCCTGTATATCTTACCTGTAGATTCTGTTGATGGTTCCTTGCTTATCTCCCTTACATCTACATCCTCCTCTATAGTTCCTGCATCACTGTCTTCACTGAACTCTCTAGCCTGTATATCTTACCTGTAGACTTTGTTGATGGTTCCTTGCTTATCTCCCTTATATTTACTTCCTCCTCTTTAGTTCCTGTGTCACTGTCTTCACTGAACTCTCTAGCCTGTTTATCTTACCTGTAGATTCTGTTGATGTTTCCTTGCTTATCTCCCTTAAATCTACACCCTCCTCTATAGTTCCTCCATCACTGTCTTCACTGAACTCTCTAGCCTGTATATCTTACCTGTAGATTCTGTTGATGGTTCCTTGCTTATCTCCCTTAAATCTACATCCTCCTCTATAGTTCCTGTGTCACTGTCTTCACTGAACTCTCTAGCCTGTATATCTTACCTGTAGATTCTGTTGGTGGTTCTTTGCTTATCTCCCTTACATCTACATCCTCTTTTATAGTTCCTGTGTCATTGTCTTCACTGAACTCTCTAGCCTGTATATCTTACCTGTAGAATCTGTTGGTGGTTCTTTGCTTATCTCCCTTACATCTACTTCCTCCTCTATAGTTCCTGCATCACTGTCTTCACTGAACTCTCTAGCCTGTATATCTTACCTGCAGATTCTGTTGATGGTTCCTTGTTTATCTCCCTTACATCTACATCCTTCTCTATAGTTCCTGTATCACTGTCTTCACTGAACTCTCTAGCCTGTATATCTTACCTGCAGATTCTGTTGATGGTTCTTGGCTTATCTCCCTTACATCTACATCCTCCTCTATAGTTCCTGCATCACTGTCTTCACTGAACTCTCTAGCCTGTATATCTTACCTGCAGATTCTGTTGATGGTTCCTTGTTTATCTCCCTTACATCTAAATCCTTCTCTATAGTTCCTGCATCACTGTCTTCACTGAACTCTCTAGCCTGTATATCTTACCTGTAGATTCTGTTGATGTTTCCTTGTTTATCTCCCTTACATCTACATCCTCCTCTATAGTTCCTGTGTCACTGTCTTCACTGAACTCTCTAGCCTGTATATCTTACCTGTAGATTCTGTTGATGTTTCCTTGTTTATCTCCCTTACATCTACATCCTCCTCTATAGTTCCTGCATCACTGTCTTCATTGAACTCTCTAGCCTGTATATCTTACCTGTAGATTCTGTTTATGGTTCCTTGCTTATCTCCCTTACATCTACATCCTCCTCTATAGTTCCTGTCTTCACTGAACTCTCTAGCCTGTATATCTTACCTGTAGATTCTGTTGATGTTTCCTTGCTTATCTCCCTTACATCTACTTCCTCCTCTTTAGTTCCTGTCTTCACTGAACTCTCTAGCCTGTATATCTTACCTGTAGATTATGTTGATGGTTCCTTGCTTATCTCCCTTACATCTACTTCCTCCTCTATAGTGCCTGTCTTCACTGAACTCTCTAGCCTGTATCTTACCTGTAGATTCTGTTGATGATTCCTTGCTTATCTCCCTTACATCTACATCCTCCTCTATAGTTCCTGTATCACTGTCTTCATTGAACTCTCTAGCCTGTATATCTTACCTGTAGATTCTGTTGATGTTTCCTTGCTTATCTCCCTTACATCTACATCCTCCTCTATAGTTCCTGCATCACTGTCTTCACTGAACTCTCTAGCCTGTATATCTTACCTGTAGACTTTGTTGATGGTTCCTTGCTTATCTCCCTTATATTCACTTCCTCCTCTTTAGTTCCTGTGTCACTGTCTTCACTGAACTCTCTAGCCTGTATATCTTACCTGTAGATTCTGTTGATGGTTCCTTGCTTATCTCCCTTACATCTACATCCTCCTCTATAGTTCCTCCATCACTGTCTTCACTGAACTCTCTAGCCTGTATATCTTACCTGTAGATTCTGTTGATGGTTCCTTGCTTATCTCCCTTAAATCTACATCCTCCTCTATAGTTCCTGTGTCGTTGTCTTCACTGAACTCTCTAGCCTGTATATCTTACCTGTAGATTCTGTTGGTGGTTCTTTGCTTATCTCCCTTACATCTACATCCTCTTTTATAGTTCCTGTGTCATTGTCTTCACTGAACTCTCTAGCCTGTATATCTTACCTGTAGAATCTGTTGGTGGTTCTTTGCTTATCTCCCTTACATCTACTTCCTCCTCTATAGTTCCTGCATCACTGTCTTCACTGAACTCTCTAGCCTGTATATCTTACCTGCAGATTCTGTTGATGGTTCCTTGTTTATCTCCCTTACATCTACATCCTTCTCTATAGTTCCTGTATCACTGTCTTCACTGAACTCTCTAGCCTGTATATCTTACCTGCAGATTCTGTTGATGGTTCTTGGCTTATCTCCCTTACATCTACATCCTCCTCTATAGTTCCTGCATCACTGTCTTCACTGAACTCTCTAGCCTGTATATCTTACCTGCAGATTCTGTTGATGGTTCCTTGTTTATCTCCCTTACATCTACATCCTTCTCTATAGTTCCTGCATCACTGTCTTCACTGAACTCTCTAGCCTGTATATCTTACCTGTAGATTCTGTTGATGGTTCCTTGCTTATCTCCCTTACATCTACATCCTCCTCTATAGTTCCTGTCTTCACTGAACTCTCTAGCCTGTATATCTTACCTGCAGATTCTGTTGATGGTTCCTTGTTTATCTCCCTTACATCTACATCCTTCTCTATAGTTCCTGCATCACTGTCTTCACTGAACTCTCTAGCCTGTATATCTTACCTGTAGATTCTGTTGATGGTTCCTTGCTTATCTCCCTTACATCTACATCCTTCTCTATAGTTCCTGTATCACTGTCTTCACTGAACTCTCTAGCCTGTATATCTTACCTGTAGATTCTGTTGATGGTTCCTTGTTTATCTCCCTTACATCTACATCCTTCTCTATAGTTCCTGTATCACTGTCTTACCTGAACTCTCTAGCCTGTATATCTTACCTGCAGATTCTGTTGATGGTTCTTGGCTTATCTCCCTTACATCTACATCCTCCTCTATAGTTCCTGCATCACTGTCTTCACTGAACTCTCTAGCCTGTATATCTTACCTGCAGATTCTGTTGATGGTTCTTGGCTTATCTCCCTTACATCTACATCCTTCTCTATAGTTCCTGTATCACTGTCTTCACTGAACTCTCTAGCCTGTATATCTTACCTGTAGATTCTGTTGATGGTTCCTTGTTTATCTCCCTTACATCTACATCCTTCTCTATAGTTCCTGCATCACTGTCTTCACTGAACTCTCTAGCCTGTATATCTTACCTGTAGATTCTGTTGATGGTTCCTTGCTTATCTCCCTTACATCTACATCCTCCTCTATAGTTCCTGTCTTCACTGAACTCTCTAGCCTGTATATCTTACCTGTAGATTCTGTTGATGGTTCCTTGCTTATCTCCCTTACATCTACATCCTCCTCTATAGTTCCTGTCTTCACTGAACTCTCTAGCCTGTATATCTTACCTGTAGATTCTGTTGATGATTCCTTGCTTATCTCCCTTACATCTACTTCCTTCTCTATAGTTCCTGCATCACTGTCTTCACTGAACTCTCTAGCCTGTATATCTTACCTGTAGATTCTGTTGGTGGTTCTTTGCTTATCTCCCTTACATCTACTTCCTTCTCTTTAGTTCCTGTGTCACTGTCTTCACTGAACTCTCTAGCCTGTATATCTTACCTGTAGATTCTGTTGATGTTTCCTTGTTTATCTCCCTTACATCTACATCCTCCTCTATTGTTCCTGCATCACTGTCTTCACTGAACTCTCTAGCCTGTATATCTTTTTGTTGCTCTAAGATATCTTCTACCTAAACAAGAATCCAATGAATTTATATTTCCTGATTAAAAGTACTTGCTTACATCCACTTGATTTGAACTTTGGTGGATAGTTGTCTCATTGGCAATCATACCACATCTCCTAATTTTATACTCAGGATTCATATATTTTCGTGTGTACCAATTTATGTGGATTGAGAAAATATTGTATTTTGATTGATATTTAATTTCATGGTTTTGTTAAAGTCTGATTACCAGCCTATAGAAAATTTGTACTTTGTTGTACATTCAAATTTGTGGCTAACCTTTTGTATGAACCCTTCAAACCCCCTCCCCCTGGCTATGGGTCTGATTCAACAGTAAATAAACCTTTTAAAGCTATACTGTTTGAGTACGTACAACTTTCATCAAATTTAAGTATTGTTGTTTGACCAAGATTTCTATAAAACTATTTTACATTTAGGTTTTGCTCATTGTGTAAGGCCATCTGGTAAGTGTTTACATCCTTGTCCTTTGGTCTTAGTGGTAGATAGTTTTCTCTTTGGCAATCAAACCACATCTCCTTATTTTTGTCAATAAACTAATAGGCAAACAGGTTTTTCAGTCATACTTTTATCATCTGATTGTCTAATATAGTCAACTTTCGTTATCTCAAAGTCGTCCAGACCAGAGAAATGTTTCGAGATATTCATATTTTGACTCAAAAGAATACAGGAGTCCGATAGATCAAGGAAAACAACTCTTTCTCAACTTATGAAAAGGCTAAAATAATTCAAGCAGGATAATGGGTTAGGGATCAATATTCTGTTCAGGGATCAATATATTTGTATGTTATTGTCTTTTATTATTACTATTAACCCTTTCACCGATAGCTGCCCCAACAGAAGCTACTCTGAGACAATGGCTTCCCTGGCTACTATGACTCAAGTGGGAGATCTTCATAATAAATATCAATAAAAACTAGTGTGTAGTTATTTTTGTCTTTATTTCATTCACTAACACCATTTTCACAGTTTTGTTCATGTTTTGATAATTGTTTCTTCATAAAAAATTAAAATTTTTAAATTTTCGACATTATTTAGGTGGAATTCTCAAAATTCTACTTTTTGACTCAAAATCGTAATTTTTTAACCCAAAACGGCATAAGTTTAAAATATTGAATGAGGCTGTACAAATTCCTTACACTGAACGATGTCCATTACAAGTGTTTTGTACATCAAACGGCACTTTATGTCAAAAAAGTATACTAGTCTGGCTTCAATTCTTCCATATTCTTTAAAAAAAATGTTCCCTTATTTCAAATTCTCGTAAATTCCGTGAATTTCATCTGATTTTGACACGGTTTTCAACAAACGGAAGCGCCATGTTTACACTTTCATCTGAGTATCAACAAGGAAAGATAACTCATGTTTGCAATGTTTTGAGCGGGAAATGTAAAAGAGGTATTCCGATCCCGGTAAAACGGGACTCATCGTCAGCTGTCTGAAGCGTGAATCCTGGTAAACCGGGACTCGTCGGTGAAAGGGTTAATGATATGTATTATTTTGTACAATAATGTTGAACCAAAGAAATAGTTTTTTCTATAGTTGACTCTCCTCTCAAATTGCAATTGGCTGGCTTGAAATATCCTGTGGTTATGAACTTTGTTCTTTATATATATAGATGTATTTCTACTCTTAAAAAGTGGAAATTAGACAAGTCAACATTTTGATTTTCTTAGACCAAATTTACAGTCCCAAGGTTAGCTACAACAGCATTTAAATTGTGTTCCTTATCTCAAGCAAATACACACAAGTAAAAACATGACCTCAATGATTTAAATATATTGCAGAGTTCTGACAACACACCTGTAATTAAATTTCCAGTCATACACCCTGTATTGATTTATGACATTCTTTACCTGTTGCTCAAATTCATCATCTGAACTTTGAGCAGATTTTTGTTTCTCTTCATCATTTCCTGGTAACTGCTCTGCCTCTTCAGCCTTTTCTCCTATTTCACTAACAGTCTGTACCTTTTCTGCTTCAATCTTTTTATCTTCAGACTGGTTTTCAGACACATCTTCATTATCTTCCACTTCATCTTTTTCCTCAATAACAGTCATTTCTGAAGGTTTTCCTTCAAATTTTTCCTCAATAACAGTCATTTCTGGAGGTTTTTCTTCAAATTTTTCCTCACTACCAGTTATTTCTTCAGTCTTTTCTTCAACTTCTTGCTGATCTTTTATGTTTTCATCTACAACATGAGATTCTTCTACTTTCTCAGACTCATCATTTTCTTCATTCTTATTTTGCTCAATAACAGCAACTGTAACTTGTGTCTGGGCTGCATCACCTATAGATTTAAATGTCTCTTCCATTTTCTCATCGTCATTCAGACTAGCTTCATTCTGTTCTTCAACTTTGTCTAGTTTATGATCACCAGCTGTTTCAGATGGAGGTTGAGGTGCTTGTTTTTTATGTGGGATTTCCTTCAATTCTAATTTAAGTTCTTCATCTTGTGATGTTTTTGATTTTTTAACATCATCAGATTTTCTTTTCTCCTTTATATCACTTCCTTTTCTTGCCATTTTTATCTGAAAGAAATAAAATTAAATTGTTGACTTGGTACAAGAAAATAGTGCGGATTTATCTTATTTGTATGCATCAGAATTTATAATAATTTTGAGCCAAAAATTTATATTAAATGAAAGAAAAAGAGAAAGAAAGAAAGAAAAAGAAAGAAGGGGAAAAGAAAGCAAAGGAAAAAAAAATGTGTTTGTTTACTGTAACATTTCTGAAAAAAAAAATGTTTGTCAGTCGAAAAAAATGTTTGTCAGTCGGAAAAATGTTTGTCAGTCGGAAAAATGTTTATTTTTTATTTGAACTTCAAATCTGGATATATGAAATTGATATAGCCTTATGAGGTCTGGGTTTAGATCAGAACCCATATTGCATTTACCTAAATTTCGGTCCTGTAAGTAGCCATTTGTGGAAGTAGTTTTTTTTCAGTCAAATATGGTTTTACAAGATACTTGTTGATGATTTTCGATATCAAGAATAATAAATACAAATGACAAAAATAAAAAATGAAAATGAAAAAAAGTTAGGGTTGGCTCTCAAAAGTCAGTGTAGGTCAGAATACAGTATACACTCATGTGCAATTTTTCAAACCTAATTATCTTATTATCATACATATTTCAATGCAACAAATGTCATAATATTCAATTCACTTTATTACAAATTAAATCGTTTTTTACCTTTCTTTTCAGTTGAGTTACAACTCTTTGTACTTCCCAAAGTTGTTCTTCTTTGTCTTGGTCAGATATTCCAGTTCTTAACTGTTCATGTAAACTGTTCAGTAAAGATTCCTGTTTAAGTAGCTCTTCCTCCAGCTGTGCAGGACTATCTGGTAGCTCTAGTGACCACTTGGAATGGGCTGGTTTGATGGGTGGCTTGTACCTATATAAAATTAGACAATACGTAATAGAATCATTTTTATACAATAAAGCTAATCAATATTTTTGACCTAGCAATAATGTCTCCTTCACATGTGTACAGGTTGATGTATCTTTGGACTGCTAATCATAATATGATGCTTTTATTTCACTTTGTAAACAAATCCATATTTTCATTTCAACATGTTGATAAATGCTGGAGATAACAAGAGGCTACTAAGAGCCAGAATCACTCACCTGGATTTGTTGTGTAGATCAATGATTATTTTGCTGTTTATTGTATATATATATATATATATTTCTCTAATTTTTGTGTTATTTTCACATTTCTTGAGCAGTGTGAGAAAAATATTTCTCCTCACTAGTGAAATATCTGTTCTCAGCAAATGATTGGTCGAAATTTAATTATGACGTTATTTTTTTTTTTATTTCTTCTGAATTTCCTATTGTGACGTCCTTAAACTAGAGGCTCTCAAGAGCCTGTGTCGCTCACCTGATTCTACTTTGGTTTTGGAAATCATGTTAAAATAGATTAAAATCATAACAGATACCCTAATAATGAGTGAGGCCAAATTTGGTTTAATATTGGCCCTGTAATTTAATAAAAAATCCTGGTGGCCATCTTGTACAGTAAATCAGCAACAAAGTAGCAACACTTCATCAGCACCTCATAAGAAACATTTATGCCATGTTTGGTTTCATTCCATTCAGTGCACCTTTAGAAGAAGCATTTGTATGTATTTCCAATAGGATCTTATGTTAAAGGAAGTCCCCCCGCTGTCGGCCATCGTGGATGAAGGATCAGCTTCAAAGTAACAACACTTAGTCAGCACCTCATAAGGAACATTCATGAGATGTTTGGTTTCAATCCATTTAGTGGTTCTCTAAAAGAAGACATTTGTATGTATTGTCCATAGGGTCCTTTGTTAAACACTGTCCCCAGCTGGTGGCCATCTTGGATGATGGATCAGCTTCAAAGTAACAAAACTTGGTAAGCACTTCATAAGGAACATTCATGCCATGTTTGGTTTCATTCCATTCAGTGGTTCTCTAAAAGAAGACATTCATATGTATTTCCCATAGGGTCCTATGTTAAACTAAGTCCCCCGCTGGCAGCCATCTTCGATGATGGATCGGCTTCAAAGTAACAACACTTGGTCTGCACCTCAAAAGGAACATTCATGCCATGTTTGGTTTCATTCCATTCAGTGGTTCTTTAAAAGAAGACATTTGTATGTATTTCCCATAGGGTCCTATGTTAAACTAAGTCCCCTGCTGGCGGCCATCTTGGATGATGGATCGGCTTCAAAGTAACAACACTTGGTCAGCACCTCATAAGGAACATTCATGCCAAGTTTGGTTTCATTCCATTCAGTGGTTCTCTAAAAGAAGACATTTGTAAATATTTCTCTTAGAGTCCTATGTTAAACTAAGTCCCCTGCAGGCGACCATCTTGGATTATGGATCGGCTTCAAAGTAACAACACTTGGTCAGCACCTCATAAGGAACATGTATGCCATGTTTGGTTTCATTCCATTCAGTGGTTCTTTAAAAGAAGACATTTGTATGTATTTCCCATAGGGTCCTATGTTAAACTAAGTCCCCCGCTGGCGGCTATCTTGGATGATGGATTGGCTTCAAAGTAACAACACTTTGTCAGAACCTCATAAGGAACATTCATGCCATGTTTGGTTTCATTCCATTCAGTGGTTCTCTAAAAGAAGACATTCGTATGTATTTCCCATAGGGTCCTATGTTAAACTAAGTCTCCCGCTGGCAGCCATCTTCGATGATGGATCAGCTTCAAAGTAACAACACTTGGTCAGCACCTCAAAAGGAACATTCATGCGATGTTTGGTTTCATTCCATTCAGTGGTTCTTTAAAAGAAGACATTTGTATGTATTTCCCATAGGGTCCTATGTTAAACTAAGTCCCCCGCTGGCGGCCATCTTGGATGATGGATCGGCTTCAAAGAAACAACACTTGGTCAGCACCTCATAAGGAACATTCATGCCAAGTTTGGTTTTATTCCATTCAGTGGTTCTCTAAAAGAAGACATTTGTATGTATTTCCCATAGGGTCCTATGTTAAACTAAGTCCCCCGCTGGCGGCCATCTTGGATGATGGATCGGCTTCAAAGTAACAACACTTGGTCAGCACCTCATAAGGAACATTCATGCCATGTTTGGTTTTATTCCATTCTGTGGTTCTCTAAAAGAAGACATTTGTATGTATTTCCCCATAGGGTCACATGTTAAACTAAGTCCCCCGCTGGCGGCCATCTTGGATGATGTATCGGCTTTAAAGTAACAACACTTGGTCAGCACCTCATAAGGAACATTCATGCCATGTTTGGTTTCATTCCATTCAGTGGTTCTCAAGAAGAAGTTCAAAATGTAAAAAGTTAACGACGACGACGGACGACGACAACGACGACAACGACGGACGACGGACGCCAAGTGATGAGAAAAGCTCACTTGGCCCTTTGGGCCAGGTGAGCTAAAAAGGCGATCATGTCTGATGAAGTCAGGTATAAAGAACACAGCTTTCTGCAAATCTTTGAAAAGGAAGGATAAAAATCATTAGAGAAACAGATTCCAGCACTATAACTCGTGTATTATGATATTTCTCCACTCTCCAACAGGTAAATTTAAATATTTGAAAAGCTCGGCAAGCCTCAAGCTTTAAATATTAAAATTTAACTGTCTCGAGTGGAGAAATTTTGTAACACACTTGTTGCAGTGATGGAATCTATATGTGTATTTAAACATGTCATTTAAAGTTTCTCTCTATCTATCATCGTTGATCTTGTTAACTTATTTGTAGTTCTTACTTTGATGAGTATTTTTATTGATTGAAGTTTCTCTCTATCTATCATAGTTAGTACCAAAAATTTAAAAAAATTAAAAAATAACTTAAATTTGTAGGTTACTAGGCAGAACATTTTTACCTTAAAAATATTCTCTCTGGCTGTCATAGATTCTGTAAACAGTCATACAAAAACAAAATCACTAATTCAAGTAACTTTATGACGTTTAATGTTTTCACTTTTCTGTACTTACTTTTTGAGTTCTGTATGTTTGAACAATTGTTTCACATGTGAAAAGAGAACATTTAACACCCTGTGACTGATCTGCATGGTAGGACTCAGTACTATGGAGACATTCTGTAAACTCATCTTGTTCTCTTTTTGCTGAAATAAAAATAAGTTCATGCAAAAAGTGGCTTTATTTTCATATGCGTTTTTCAAACTTGTGAAAATTTTCAAAGCTTGAATTGGCATCTTTTATCTACACTGGTATTCTGTAAGCTTACTGATACCAGATGTATGAATCAAACTATGAAATCTGTCTTTTCAATTTGAATAAAATATTGATCTTTTGACCAAGCTTTGCTTACAAAGATCTAACAACATTCCGTTTTACTGTTCTATTCTGGTTATTGTTACGTCAGCCAATGAAATGTCAGCCTTCAAGTTTTTGAATGTGTGTATTAACCAGTATACCAGAGACGACTAAAAAGACTTTTAAAACAGAAAGCAGAATAGGGCATTTTCAGATCCAATGTAAGACAAACCTTGGACACAGGATCTGTATTCTAGTTAGATTGGTGTTCATTAGGAATGAATCATTTTAAACATTCCCTCTAAATCATATGTCATGTATATGTGTACAACCTCTAAATCATGTGTCATGTATATGTGTACAACCTCTAAATCATGTGTCATGTATATGTGTACAACCTCATTAATCATATGTCATGTATATGTGTACAACCTCTAAATCATATGTCATGTATATGTGTACAACCATAAAGAACAATAACTTTATAATTATATGAAACTTTTATGATTTAATATGTACCTCTAGATCTCAAACAAAATTGCATTATCGTGATTATCATTCTGATCCAGAATAAAAGCAGCTTGGGTAAATCATGTTTAATACATCTGTAAATCACATAAGTCACATGTTTTATGTGTTTACCTAATCTCTTAATCACATGTGTCATTTGCACTATCATATATTTACCAACTCGAATTTATAAAATACATATCTCTCAGTCATATGCCTCATAAACACTATCATCCAGACAAACAACACCATGTTTGATATGGGTAAATCATGTGTTCACCTACTCTCTCAATCACATGTGTCATATATTGTATGTGTTACCTACTCTCTCAATCACATGTGTCATATATTGTATGTGTTTACCTACCCTCTCAATCACATGTGTCATATATTGTATGTGTTTACCTACTCTCTCAATCGCATGCGTCATATATTGTATGTGTTTACCTACCCTCTCAATCACATGTGTCATATATTGTATGTGTTTACCTACCCTCTCAATCACATGTGTCATATATTGTATGTGTTTACCAACCCTCTCAATCACATGTGTCATATATTGTATGTGTTTACCTACCCTCTCAATCACATGTGTCATATATTGTATGTGTTTACCTATTCTCTCAATCACATGTGTCATATATTGTATGTGTTTACCTATTTTCTCAATAATGTGTCAAATATTGTACGTGTTTACATACCCTCTCAATGACATGTGTCAAATATTGTACGTGTTTACATACCCTCTCAATGACATGTGTCATATGCACTATCATCCAGGATAACAACATTCTATTAGGTTTGGGTAAATCATGAATCAGTTTATGGAACCTTTCAACTTTACCCTTTTCACTTTTCAGAACTGAAAGTAAATCATGTAAATAAAGTCTTACAAATATCAGTACAAATTTATGTAAAGCCTATCACAGAAGCTAAATATATTTTTTATACATGCACTTGATGATTCATTAAATTTTGGAATTATGGTTATAAAAGGTGATATTTATTATATCTAATTTAATGCTTCAAAATCATAAATGCTTTCATACCAATTTTGGCTGTTCAACACATGAATAATTGGCATATATCTATGCAAAACCATGTCGATGACTATGAATTTCGGGATTTTAATGAAAGTAACACAATAAGTGCATGATTTTAACAACGGTAACACTAGTAGAGCTGAATCTGTTCAACCTTAGAGATCACACTTGTTAGACCATGGTTGTTGGTGGTGTCATAGCTGTTGTACTAGTGTATTTAGGGACTATTGTTTGTCTTACAATGGATTGTCTGCTTAATATCTCCCTCATTTCTTACTGTGGATTTATTTTCTTTCATGGATACCAATTTTTGTTGATTGAAAAAAAAATTGTATTTTCGTTAATTTTTGATTTTATGGTTTTTCAAACTCAGCTTACTAGCCTATAGAAAATTTGTAATATGTTGAACATTTAAATTAACGGTTATTCTTTACCCACTAAATCCTAGAAAATTTATATCCCACAAAAAATAATGAACTCACAGTAAAAAAAATGCACCTACTCATATAACAAATTAAGCAAAACTAATACTCATAAATACACTTGTTTATCTAGTGACCAAGTTATAAAATACTTAAAATAAAAACTGGTTGCTACATCAAGATTCCCTGTCAAGCGTAAACAAAATTTTTTTCAAAGTTTTCAATTTTAAAAATAATGTGATAAAATTGGCAATAAGACACCTATCCACCAAAGACCAAATGATGAACAGTCGAACCTTGTTGTACAAAGTTGAAGGGACCTGACCAAAGTATTTGATTTATCCGAGATTTGACTCATCCGAGGTCGAGTGTCTCATCATAAACTTGGAATGCACAAAATACAGTATGAAATTTGTGAAAACTAGATACTTTGAACAGTGTGCCTTTTTTCAATATGACACTTATTGTGTATCCAATCTCCATATTTTTTGGATCTTCACAATTAAACACACAAGTACAGATACAAATCATCAACAAATAAAACCAATAGTCTGCACAAATATTTTCAAAGGTCAGTCACTATAAATCTCAGCTTGGGTCATTTAAATATGTTTCATTTTGATGTCATTTGAAATATGCTCAATACACTAATGTTCTGCTTGAGCGATCAACAAAGGTGTTAAGGGCTGATCCATAAAAACATACATGGGACCCAGGGAAGGCACTTCCATATCTCAAACTATGGGTGGGTGTCATCTATGTTTTTTGTATAGTGCCTTCCCTGGGTACCATGTATGTTTTAATGGAACAGCCCTAATTACCAGTCATCATAAACATGTCATTTTAACTGTTATACAAACAAGTATGTTTACTCAGCTTTAATATCTTTTGAAAATGATTAGTTTCATAAGAAATACATTCGACTTGAATTTTTATCATTAGGTCTCCATTTTTCGAAAATTCTTACTTTCGAAAATCAGGGTCAATTTACAGTCAGGGATATAACTCTATCATTGTCTATAAGGTTATTACAGAAAAATAACATACATTTGTTATTGTGGACTAAAAAGTCAAAAAACTGTGATAACATATGTATGTTACATGTTTTATATACATCATTAGTTTAGTTAAAATGTATACAAGTTCTATTGATATTACTTTTGTCTTTATGTATACTCAACTATAGAAAGATATAACAGTTCACAGTTTGCCAATTATGCATACTACACCTATGTTATTACAGAAAAAATATGACTGTAATAACTAAAGGGTGTTATCACAGCTTCTCTACATCACTCCAAAGCTTTTGACCAGACATACATCATGCTTAATTACAATGTATTTTAATTTATTGTAAGAAATAATGACCAGAGCATCTAATGAGGTTCTGCGCATGCTTCCCACTAATTCCTAAGTGTCTCATATAATAAGTAACATTCCTTTAATAACTAAGCCTTGTTATTACAGCTAAGTTGATCCCTTAAAAGCCTCATCTCATTGATTTACCATGGTTAATCAAAAATGTATTAATTTAATTAAAACATTAGTTATCAAGGCTATGTATTTAGTTTCTGCACAAAGTCTCAAGAGTTCCCTAGAGCCCACTATAGATTAAAATATTTTTGATTTATTTTACAAATAACAAACATATGTTATTACAGATTTAGAATTTATGGAATAAAGAGTAGACAACTCATGAAAGTATCTGTAATAACACATGCAAGTTATTTTCTGTAATAACCCTATAGAGTTATATCCCTGACTGATTTACATTAATTTTACATTGACGGGACTTTAACATTTACTTGTCTTAATAGAGTATTCCAATCAACCAAGTTCGACTCATGGGGGGTAATTATGCATTTATCAAACAGGAATTTTATCGAGACCGAGAAAATACTTCGACTCATCAGATTTTTCAACATAACCAAGTTCGACACACGGAGGTTTGACTGTAGGTTAAGCAGATGTTAATGCTCGAAAAACAGGGCAGTGCAAAACTTAAAGTTATTTCATACTTGAAGCTTCCTCAAACTTTGGCATCAACCATGTTGTAAGAACAGGTTCTGGTAACTCCCTAAGGAACTGTTTCAGTAGACTGGCCACAATGTTAGGTTCGTGTTCCTCTAGAAACACAGGCAGACCCTTGTTATAACAGTCCTTTAAGAGCTGGATCTTAGACTTCACACCTGAAATTCTGTATATCCCTTCACAAGATAACCCTGTAAGATAATAAATTATGTTTTTAATTAGTGCAAAAAAGCGATGGAATAGGTGTCATAAAAATAAAGATTAATAGCATTATTTGTATGCAGTGTTTATTAAGATTTCAATAATTAATCTGATATCTATGTCCATTCTTAAAATATACCAATAATAAATGCATGCAACAATTTCTGAATTAAAAATTGTCAATTCACGTAATTACAAATAATCTGACACAGATATATATATATCTTACCCTGTGACCTTTTCAAACTTAGACAATTATTGTCTCTTAATTTTTGCCTCTGCCGAAGTGAAATATAGTATGCCAATGTCTTGGTTCAGAGACTTTTGTAGCAAGCAAAACACACAGGTTCAGAGCTCCAGATAAGCTGCGCATTTGCGTGATCACGCAATAAAAATAATTGAAAACCCAATGCAAGTGCCCATCGCAGCCTTCTAAAACCCAATTCATGCAAAGGAAAACCCAATAATTTGTCAAAACCATGAGTTTTTAACGCTTTTAGTCGCTATTGCATTGTATTGTGTGCGTTATTTACCCTTATCTATTACATAGTCGTCGCGTAAATCTATTATTGTAATATTGAAAATCGGAAATGTCCTTTCGTTCTAAAAATAGAGCGTTGAAAGGGTCCCTGTTGAAATTTTCCGTTACCACGTGGTGATGAAAACATTTCGATCTTCTCTGTCTTTATCCAAAAAAGCGTTAGTCATGTCATCATAATTCTTTTCATATTGCTCGGGATTTAATATTACACTTAGCAATGAATTAAAATGAAAGTCAATTTCCGGTAAAAATATTGAATAGAAGCATGTTTTGGCTTCTTTTTGAGAGCTGAGGAATTATGATGATAACAAGACTGAGCTAGTGTTATCAGGAAACGTCCCTTGAACTCAAGGGGTCATGCAATGGCGCGTCCAGGGCATGTTTGCGTGCCTTAACGAGAAAAGGGTTAGAACTCGTCAGAACTAAATCAGTTGGAACATGAAAGGCCAAATCACTTATATGAAGTCAGCATCGGAAACCAAAAGTTCTAATAAGGGATAAGTAAACCCAGATTTATGTTAATAAAATTAAACAAAAACAGTGTTTATTTTTAGTTCAAGAGTAGATATAATATAATATATATTTCATTATAGTTGACGAGTGAACACACATATTAGTTTTGATGTAAATGTAGCTTGCCACTTTCTTTGTTTTTGGTCTATTGTTCTGTATGCCTAAGATACATGTAGTTGTCTTATTGACAAGTGCAGTACAACATTGTCATTTATTTGTCATTTATTTATTTGATGTTGAAGGATTATTTGTAAATTGAATGTGATCTCAGTCATTAAACCACCCTATAAACCTGGTCAAGGTTTTGAGGTATATATCTTAAATCTGGGAGCTACTTTTTTTTTTTTAAAGTAGGTCTGGCAAACAGGTGATAGGGACTGGCAGCACTATCTTACAGCACTTAATGTTCACAAATATTACATAAAAATCTAAAAAGTATTAACCACACCTACCCCCAAATAAACTGAATGCTGATGATACATGCTCTAGAAAGGTAATTAGGTACTGTCCTATTAGTGCCTCCAGTAAATATAAGTTATGGAAAATACAGAACTTTGTGGGAAACCGGACACAAATTAAACGTGCAATTGCTCGTCAGTGTATAAACCAAATAAAACAGCTATCACATATAAAAAAGGCATAGTTCAGATGAATGAACATCTCTGTTTGATAAAATGTGATTAAAACATGCCTAAATTCAATATCGTGTTGATGAAAAAACCCAATACGTTAAGGAGCTTGGTGGTGAAAAACCCAATTTGAAATTTGCTTGAGGGGTGAATTGGAATTAATAATGCAATTGAAAAACTATTTCACTCAATTAAATAAAAATTGTGGGTAATAACCCCAATTTGTGAATTCTTATCTGGAGCTCTGCAGGTTAGACGCAAAAAACTTGATTTTAAAATTGCATGTGCTAAAAAAATCACTAATTTATTACATGATGTAATTGAGTACTTTTTATCATTTGTGGATGGGAAGGCCACTGACTTTATCAGTACCTGAGGGGATATTGTTCCAAATAGATGGTCATGATGGTGCTCTAGAATTGGCATAAACATGGTAATTTGCCTGTCCAGATCACAAATTATGTAAATGAACTAATGCTAAAGATCCCTCTGGCAAAAATAACGTTACACATCATTTTAAGACATTTTATGCTTCCACACTTCTGTCTCGTACCTACAGTTATCCAACAAAACAGTGTCATGTGCATAGAAAAAGATATCATATTTTGTTTAACTTACCATGTTCCTCAATATAGTCAATACATTCCCTGAACATAGCTGGGAGTTCTACTCCATCATAACATCTATTCCTCTCCACGGCCAGGGTTAGTTGTACTCCAAATATGGCTTTCTCTGGTTCTTCTACAAATACATTACACGATAAAAACATTTTACACTTACAACATAGATTTTTGGTGTTTTTTTTGCGTTTCTTTTTTTTTTTAAGATATCTTCTGGTATGTGTTTTTTTCACTTCTCCTAAATCTATTTTGATTTTAAGAGATATATAAAAATGCACATGTTGTTGTGCTTAGCATACCCCCACTGGCAGCATACCCCCACTAGTAGTTCAAAGTATTATAAAACAGGTTGTAGGTGTCTGACTGAATCAAAAAGCACAAACATGTTACAACTCATGTTTGCCAGCTGCTGACCAAATATCAAGTCATTCTATTGAGTAGTTTTAGTGAAATGCTGACTAAAACACTTGTTGGACAGATGAAGGAATGGGCCGCCGAGGTAATCAATATATACCCCCGACTCCATTCAAGAAAACATTATGACCTACTCAAAAATAAACTTAAGTATAAATTATTATTTCATTTGAAACTATTCTAATGAGGAAAACTCTTAAATGCCAGCATTAAAAATGATCCTGTTGAAAAGAATATTATAACAACAACAACATATCGCTATCCTTTTAAAAAACGTATTTTCTTTGTATAATAAAATTGAGAATGGAAATGGGGAATATGTCAAAGAGACAACAACCCGATCAAAGAGAAGATAACAGCTGAAGGCCACCAATGGGTCTTCAATGCAGCGAGAAAATCCAGCACCTGGAGGTGGTCCTCAGCTGGTCAACATTTTGTTCTTTGCAAATGCTTCCATTGGCTAATGATAAGAAATGTAACTTTTTTAATCTGAGAAGAGTTAGTACATGGTAAACAAGTAAATTTTGAGTTATTATTCTTGGTGTACGTCATACCCCTTTTAACTGACTATTATAGTTTGTTCTTATGTTGTACTATTACACCACTGTCCCTGATAAGGGTGAGGATTTGGCGCCAGCAAACTAGTCTAACCGACCTACATTCTATATGTACCTGTCCCAAGTCAGGAGCCTGTCATCGCATGGTTGTCTTTTTTTGCTGTTTTTCATATTTCTTTTCTGTTTATTGTTCTATAAATTGTATTATTATGCTGTGCCGTTACACCATTGCACCAAGTTAGGGAAGAGTTGGTTACTCCAAACTAGTTTTAAAATATTTCTTTTTCGCAAATTGTTTTATAATAAATGAGGCTGTTAGTTTTTATTAATTGAATTGTTTCATATTTTTCATGTCTGGCTTTTTTATTGCCAACGATACGATACTGGTTTTTCTCATTGTTGAAGGCTGTACAGTTGCCTCTAATTGCTTACATCCACTTATTTGAACTCTGGTGGATAATTGTCTCATTAACAATCATACCACATCTTCTTATTTCTATATCAAGTATACATGTTGTAAATATTTTTTTATGCATTTACTAGATGTATCTGTTACTTGTTCCACAGGTTTGTTCTTCTTTTTATCTTTTTTATGTTTCTTGTGCTCTTTCCCTTCTTTCTTCTTTTCTTTTTCTTCTTTTTTCACCTCTTTCTTTTCATCCTGCAAAAATTCAATTTGATTTTGTTTTTATTTCCTTTAAAAAGACTGATCTTGCTGGTGGGACTTTATTTCAGCTAGACTTTACTGGATATGAATGTTATACATTTAACATAGCAGACACCCAAACCCCTTCTGCCCCTTATTAGTATTGGGGTTACTACGTGACTGGGAAGGTTTTGATTACATATTTTTATACACCACTTACCCTAAGGTTGAAGTAATTTATGACTTAGGATTTGAAATTAGCAGAGGCCCATTCGCCAATAGCCTCTAAAATTTGGTGTGGGCTGATAAAATTTCTGCTTTTCTCGTATAGAACTATATATATTGGCCACAGAATTTAAGCTGTGGGCTACCATGCCAAAATTTTAACTTCAATCCCTGTATATCTTTACTTGTGCCCCAAATTTAGAGAATTTTAAATACTGGTACAGAAACCACAAAAAACTTTATTCTTTTTTTTTAACAAAAATATGTTTTGATTAATTATCCTCAGCTGAGGCCACTCCTAATTGAATACTTTAGTCTTTTGACATAAATGTACAAAATTGGAGTGAGTGCCTAAGATTTTCATATGTTTCATTTATAGTTAGAAACAAATATTTTAGCAAAAAAAACCTGAAAATGGTTAGAGGAAGACGTAAATTAACTTTTATTCTACTAAAATCCTACAAATTTCAAGAATAAGAAATAATATAATGGAACCAACTTGTTTTAGTTTTCTGTGATTTTGGGGTGTGTGATGACATATAATAATGAAATTGTCAATTTCATTAAAATGTGGCAATAATTCTGAAAGTCTTCACGGAATGGGGTTAATTTTTGGTTTAGGTTCCAAATATTTTGAAGTGAGGCGAATCTGCAAAACTAAATATCAGTTTCGAGTGGCCTTATGGATGGTTTTTTTTTATGTTATACAACATGCTAAACCCACTAAATTATGCATGTACTTGTCTCAAGTCAGGAGCCTGTTATTCAGTGGTTGTCATCTGTTGCTACATACCATATTTGTTTTCATTTGTTTTGTCCACATAAGTCAGGCCATAAGTTTTCTTGATTTAATTGTTTTACATTTGTCATGTCAGGCCTTTTATAGCTTCCTATATCGTATAAGATTTGCCCATTGATGACAGCTGTATTGTGACCTATAGTTGATAACATCTAGGCATTTGGTCTCTGGTAGAAATTTGTCTCATTAGCAATCATACCACATCTTCTTATTTTATTTGTATATTTAAGATTTGAATGATTGTTTTTGTAATATATAAATTTAATGTAAAAGAGTTGACCGAAGTACATTTTGTATGAAGCGCGGAAGCACTTCATTCTTAAAATGTACGCACGGTAAACGCTTTTACAACCCTATGAAATTACAAAAAGAAGCATTCAATTCTTATAATTACATTTTTTCGCTATGATCATGAAAACATGATTACTATCAAGTTTTTCTTTTATTTACCTGTGCACTTTATTGTGGAAGCTCGTGGCATCATGAATGTTACATCTCATTTTAAGAATGAAGCGAGATTGCTGTTAGTCAATCAAAATAAAATAAAACATACATGTAATGTATAGAAACATATAAACACCACAACTATACCTTGTCTTTGTCCTTCTTCTTTGTAGAAAACTTGAATCCTTTTGGTTTCTTTAACTTTGATGGACTCCTGAATATTGAGCAAAATATTGTATCAGACATGGTTTCTATTCAGATAAGATTTTTAATTCCGATCAGTGAAAATAAATATCAGCACTAAAAAAAAGTTTGTCACAAGAAATAATAATTAACATGATAAATATATTATTCTGTCAGAAAAATACATTCACATTAAAGAATGTAGTCCCTAATCTGAAAAATGGAGTTAACCTTATTTTACATCTTCTCTTTTATCATATGCATGTGAATCATCACAAAATTGAAATATCAAAAAGGGGGGATAACCTTACTTTACATCCTCTGACGTAACTAAAGATTCGTCAGAATCATCTTCATCAAACATGACATATCCTTTATCTTTCTGTCCTTTCTTTCCATCGGTTTTCTTCCCCAACAAATTCTTTCTTCTGTTTTGTTTATCATGGTCATCATCTCCTGTAAAACAGTTTCCCAACATTACAACTTTGTATAAAATCAGGGAGACGAAAGATTCCCAACATTACAATTTAGTAAAAAATCAGAGAGACGAAAGATTCCCAACACTACAACTCAGTATAAAGTCAAGGAGACGAAAGATTCCCCACACTACAACTTAGTATAAAGTCAAGGAGACAAAAGATTCCCCACACTACAACTTAGTATAAAGTCAAGGAGACAAAAGATTCCCCACACTACAACTTAGTACAAAATCAGGGAGACGAAAGATTCCTAACACTACAACTTAGTACAAAATCAGGGAGACGAAAGATTCCCCACACTACAACTTAGTATAAAGTCAGGGAGACGAAAGATTCCTAACACTACAACTTAGTATAAAGTCAAGGAGACGAAAGATTCCCCACACTACAACTTAGTATAAAGTCAAGGAGATGAAAGATTCCTAACACTACAACTTAGTATAAAGTCAAGGAGATGAAAGATTCCTAACACTACAACTTAGTATAAAGTCAGGGAGACGAAAGATTCCCAACACTACAACTTAGTATAAAGTCAGGGAGACGAAAGATTCCTAACACTACAACTTAGTATAAAGTCAGGGAGACGAAAGATTCCTAACACTACAACTTAGTATAAAGTCAGGGAGACGAAAGATTCCTAACACTACAACTTAGTACAAGGTCAGGGAGACGAAAGATTCCCAACATTACAACTTTGTATAAAATCAGGGAGAAGAAAGATTCCCCACACTACAACTTAGTATAAAATCAGGGAGACGAAAGATTCCCCACACTACAACTTAGTACAAAATCAGGGAGACGAAAGATTCCTAACACTACAACTTAGTATAAGGTCAGGGAGACGAAAGATTCCCAACATTAAAACTTTGTATAAAATCAGGGAGAAGAAAGATTCCCAACATTACAACTTTGTATAAAATCAGGGAGAAGAAAGATTCCCCACACTACAACTTAGTATAAAATCAGGGAGACGAAAGATTCCCCACACTACAACTTAGTACAAAATCAGGGAGACGAAAGATTCCTAACACTACAACTTAGTACAAAATCAGGGAGACGAATGATTCCTAACACTACAACTTAGTATAAGGTCAGGGAGACGAAAGATTCCCCACACTACAACTTAGTACAAAATCAGGGAGACGAAAGATTCCTAACACTACAACTTAGTATAAGGTCAGGGAGACGAAAGATTCCCAACATTAAAACTATGTATAAAATCAGGGAGAAGAAAGATTCCCAACACTACAACTTAGTATAAAATCAGGGAGACATATATTATTTTTTTTTCTTTTGATTAAAACTGATAATTTACTTCTGGTTTTACATTCAATGATAATACGGTCTTTTTTAGCCAAGCTGTTTTTAAAATTCTAGTTTCATTTGACCATGTTTATATTCTTTGTTTTACATTGTTTTTTTGATATGTCATGTATGTAGTTCTTGTGAAAGATGCTATAAATGAACAGACAGGGGTTTAATAGTGTACCCTTCCCTCCTTTAGGATGTGGAATAAAAAAAAACGTGACAACAGATTTAGTGAAAATATGTCATAAACATTCTGAAAGAGATATGACCTCTTCATGCAATACAAAAATATAATAACAGAGCATCAACAGGATGTAGGATCAAATGTTTTCAAAGTCTACTGGCAATATATGTACAGATATTTAGTTGGTATATATATTTATAACCTGTTCTGTTACAATCATAAATAAACTCATCATAGATACCAGGATTAAAATTTTGTATGCCAGACTAGCGTTTCGTCTGCAAAAGACTCATCAGTGACACTTAAATAAATCAATGGGGAATGTGTCCTTTGGACACAGATGATGCCCCCGCTTGCATATAAAGTTATAAAGGAACATAACTCAAGAACTGTAAAAGTGATGCTACCCAAATTTGTACTTGATCTGTGTTTTGTGGTAATAAGCATTGTGCATATGTTTCATAACATTAAATTGAGGCAAACTTAAGTTAGAGAACGGAAACTCTGAATTTTTCCATTTGTAAAGGGGCATAACTCTAGAACGGTAAAAGTGACACCACCAAACTGCCAAAATTCAAACTTGATCTGTGTTTTGTGGTAAAGAGCATTGTATATAAGTTTCACAATATTTGGTAGAGGCAATCTAAATTAGAGAACAGAAACAAAAAATTCAGCATTTTTTTCCATTTGTAAAGGGGTATTACTCTAGAATTGTAGAAGTGACCACACCAAAATTCAAACTTGATCTATGTTTTGTGGTAAAGAGCATTGTGTATAAGTTTCATAACATTTGGTTGAGGCAAACTGTATAAGAGAATGGAAACAAAAAATTCAGCATTTTTCCATTTCTAAAGGGGCATAACTCTAGAATGGTAAAAGTGACCACACCAAAATTCAAACTTGATCTGTGTTTTGTGGTAATGAGCATTGTGTATAAGTTTAATAACATTTGGTTGAGGCAAACTTAAGTTAAAGAACGGAAACGAAAAATTCAGCAATTTTTCCATTTGTAAAGGGGCATAACTCTAGAACGTTAAAATTGATGCTACAAAAATTCAAACTTGATCTGTGTTTTGTGATAATGAGTATTGTGTATAAGTTTCATAACATTTGGTTGAGGCAAACTAAAGTTAGAGAACGGAAACAAAAAAATTCAGCAATTTTTCCATTTGCAAAGGGGCATAACTCTAGAATGGTAAAAGTGACACCACCAAAGTTCAAACTTGATTTGTGTTTTGTGGTTATAAGCATTGTGTATAAGTTTCATAACATTTGGTTGAGGCAAACTAAAGTTAGAGAATGGAAACTAATTTTGGGACGTATGGACGGACGTACGGAGGTACGTACAGATGGACAAGGGTAAAAAGTTCAAAAGGCAATATAAAGTACGAAGTAAGCTTTACCTGTATAACCTTTGTCAGTTTCTTGATTATCAAAACTCATTGTAGGTCAGCTTCTCTATACCATGTATACATTTACATTTTTTGATGATTTTCTACACATTGTCTGTAATGAAAGAGATAAAATTACATTCTTGCAGTTCATTTTTTCTAAAAGGATAGTTTTGTAACTAAATGCATAAGATTTTTGAATGACAAAAATAATTTTGTAAAACATCAAAAAAGATCATACAGTGTTCTCCCCAGGGCCTTTTAGCATCATGGTAATGTGATGCTATTTTTCTTGAATATGATGCTATCTGAAATGAGTTTATAAGTTTTTTAACCCCTGAAACTTTCAGGTTTTGGGAAAACAAACATGCATAAAGCATTGTTTTGTTTTATTTTTTTTGTTGTAGGATTACAAATTTTTAATTTAACTTCAATCTTTTATCTCGCGAACAAAATGAAGATATCTTGCATTTATTTTATAAGGGGGCATAACTCGAGAACAGTAAAAGTGACGCCACCCAAATTTGAACTTGATCTGTGTTGTGTGGTAATAAGCATTGAGCAGTCAGGGGACTTATTGAAATAAGTGATTTTTAAATCACTTATTTAAGTAGCAAATTCGAAGTTTTGTCACAAATTGTGATTTTGTAGTTATACAAAAATTTTAAACACATAGGTTTAGATATCTTTTCATTAGTAAAATTGAAAAAAATGAACAGTCAGGGATATAACTCTATAGGGTTATTACAGAAAAATAACATACATTTGTTATTGTGGACTAAAAAGTCAAAGAACTGTGATAACATATGTATGTTACATGTTTCATAGGGACAATATACATCATTAGATTAGTTAAAATGTATACAAGTTCTATTGATATTACTATTGTCTTTATGTATACTCAACTATAGAAAGATATAACAGTTCACAGTTTGCCAATTATGCATACTACACCTATGTTATTACAGAAAAAATATGCTTGTAATAACTAAAGGGTGTTATCACAGCTTCTCTACATCACTCCAAAGCATTTGACCAGACATACATCATGCTTAATTACAATGTATTTTAATTTAATGTTAGAAATAATGACCAGAGCATCTAATGAGGTTCTGCGCAAGCTTCCTAGTAATTCCCAAGTGTCTCATATAATAAGTTACATTCCTTTAATAACTAAGCCTTGTTATTACAGCTAAGTTGATCTCTTAAAAGCCTCATCTCATTGAATTACAAAAAATGTACCATGGTTAATCAAAAATGTATTAATTTAATTAAAACATTAGTTATCAAGGCTATGTATTTAGTTTCTGCGCAAAGTCTCAAGAGTTCCCTAGAGCCCACTATAGATTAAAATATTTTTGATTTATTTTACAAATAACAAACATGTGTTATTACAGATTTAGAAAATTTAAGGAATAAAGAGAAGACAACTCATGAAAGTATCTGTAATAACACATGCAAGTTATTTTCTGTAATAACCCTATAGAGTTATATCCCTGACTGATGAACTTTTTGCTTCTTTTAAGCAGTAAGGTTTATGCCTTTGATGCAATCATTTAGCTGCAAATTCTATTTTAGTGGAAAAAATGCTATAAAAAAGGCTTTACATAATGAACTGATACTTTCTTAACAGATTTTTCCCGGCAGTGGGAGTATTTTTCCTGTAAAATTCAAGGTTTCATCTTATAGATTATGTATTTAAAATTCTACTGTTCGCCATCAAAGTTTCACTGTTCCGGGGTGTTGAAATTAGTGGGGGTTATTAAAATAATGATACTTAAAGAAGTGATTTTTTGGAAGGAAAATGAGGTATGATACTTAAACAAGTGATTTTTATCCTAGATTTAGTACAAGGTCATCACCTGACATGACCCGGTCATCCTATCAACACAGATGTTGGTTTTGATAATTTTAGCAACATAATTAGTACCTGGATCAGTAGTAATCTATATTTAAAGCTACACAATAAAATTAAATCACTTAGTCTAGTGATTAATTTGTACTACTTAAATAGGTGATTATTAAAGAAAGACAACTCTTACTTCCAACCTTTATGGACATAATGTTACTTGAATCAGTGATTTAGAAAATCACTTATTTAAGTAAGTCCCCTGACTGTTGAGTATAAGTTTCATAAATACCAGAGGCAAGCTAGAGTAAGAGAATGGAAACTAATTTTGGGATGTACGTAGTGACAAGGATAATACTTAATCATTGTTAATTCCGACTCTGGTGGCAGCGGGCATAAGCCATAACCCATTTATGAGGATCTTCCCCAACCTGATCAAATATGAAAAAAAATGTACAATATCTAAGTCGTTAGGTATTACTGAGTTTGAAGTTGCATACAGCATGGAAACGGTTGATGGATACGGTAACATCTTGTCCATATAGCCTTTGATAACTACTTCGGTGTTAGGTTGTATGATAATCGGTTTTGTCTCTGCTGATTTCACCAGTGCCAAACGGTTATGTTGTCTTTCAAGTTCTTTCTCTCTTAAGGTCATACATCTGAATGCTAAGTAGTATGGTGTCATCAGGTTAGCATCTTGTAGAAAACGTGTACCATGTTCTTGTTTGATGTCCTTCATAACTTCAGATAAGATGTTTGTTCCGATAAGCAGTGGTACTTCTTTATGATATTCGCTGTCTGGTATGATGAGGAATACACCAGGTTGAATCTTGTTGTCAGCTGCTCCTTGAAGTTGCAAGTCAGCTTCAATGTATCCTTTGTAAGGTAAACGTTGTCCATCGGCGCATTCTATGTTCAAAAGAAAACTGAGTGACTGTAATGGCGTTGAATATAGATGCTGATTGTAAAAACTCTCGCTTATCGTTGATACAGTTGAACCTGTGTCGAGAAGTGCTGTTGTATTAATTCCATTTATAGTAATAGTGACTTCATTTGATGAACCAAGTAGTCCTGATGTGGACGATTTCTGTTCAGTTTGTTGTGTTGATTGTTTCATGATGAACGTTTGTTGGAGGTTCAGAGCACGCTGTGTCTTTCTTGAATGATCAAGTCGTACAGTGCAGTCTACGGCGTAGTGTCCTGGCTGCCTGCAGCGCCAACAGGTGAAATCATTCTGTTTGCGTCTTCTCTGTTGTTCTACTGGTCTGTATATGGTTGTTTCGTCTGGGTGGTATGGTGTCCATGATGTATCTCTTCTTGACCATTGAATGTTAGTAGATGGTTGGTCACAATTTCTATCTTCCTTCAAAGCCTTGACATCTTGTGAGAGTTGTTTCACCAAAGCTATAAGCTGCTGAATTTGCCTGTTTTCTACAGTTGTTGTCGTTGATTTACTAGTAGCATGCATAGATGGTTTCTTTTTCAAAGATGGCTTGAGGTTATGTTGATTCTCTATTTCTCTTGTAGCTTTCAGTAAGGAATGAAAATCTGTGATGGTATCTTTCTTGTAGCGGACAATATTCTTCATCTCCGGTCTCAATCCATCAAAGAACTTGGATGTAAGCATGTCGTTGATGTTTTCCTCGGTCACATTCTTTCTGTTCTTGGCTTTGCTTAGTATCTCCTCTAATCGACAAGCCCATGTTGCAACGTCTTCGTCATCTTGCTGTCTGGCCGTGTAGAATTGGCCAAGTAAAGCTTCAGGTGGATAAACAGATCCGTATATGCTGTCCATCTTATCAATGATGTCGTCAATGGTTGCTTCCGGACCAAGTCGCATGGGAACCTTGCTAGCATCTCCACGCAAAGAACGTCTAATGGCCATCGTGATAGTTTCATGTGTATGTCCTGTCTTGATGAGACACTGTACCTCATATCTCCATAGGTCATATGGTGTACTAGTCTTTGCATCTCCGGAAAATGCTGATATCCGTGGTAAGTAGACATTCCATAAATCATCATCTGTGTCTTTATAGTCTTCCATCCAGGTTTTGAAATCATCTGGTGTCTGAGCGCATGGTTTGAGGTCCATCTCCTTGAAGGCCAAAACTATGTTGCTGATCTCATCCTTGGATAGATAATCCGACATGGCTGTACAAAATGATAATACCTAAACTATAGAAATAAAATGCTGAGATGAAATCTGAAATAAACAAAATCTTCTGAAACAAAAACAAAAAATATTAAGTTCCTAAAAGAAGAAAAAAAATATGTCTGAAATGAATACAAATATATACCAAAAATTAGTGCTAAAACAAAATAAGGATGTTAAGTACCTACAATAGGAACAAAGTATCTGAAAGAAAAACAAATATATGAATAATGTTAATTTATCCTAAAATACAAAGAAATCATCTGGAATAAATAAAATAAACAAAACGTTTTAAGTACCTATAACAGAAATAAAGATTCTGAAATTAAATAGGAAAAAAATAAGTTAAGTACCTGAAATCTAAGAAGAAAAAAAAATAAAATTAATATCTGCAGTCTACTGTCTAATCTACAGAAAACAATAAATATAGAATCAATGCAAATCCAAATATGATATACGATAATCTGGAAATCTAAATGAATATCCTGTCAAAAGAATAAGATTAGTAACTCTAACTACTACAAAGGTCTGAAATCAAAATTATGATTAAGTATCAACAAACTCGACAACAGTGCCTAAATAAATATAGAGTAATATAGTAATGGACTGAAATGACTAACTCCTCTGAAAATAAACAGATTAGATGACAAATGCAACTCCGCAATGGTAAATCAATATACTGAAATCAAAACTCTTACTATATGTATACAAAAAAAATACAAAATGGATCTCAGAAATACTATATAAAAGTATAATGTACACAGTGGCTAACAATACCTCGCAACTGAAAACCAATGAATATGTATAAGGAAAACAAATATAAGTAGTATCAATATACACCCACGTACCTTTCTTAAAGTTCCTACCCAGCTATGCCTCTGAAAATCACACACACCTAATACTCACCAAAATGTGTGTAATTTATTCCTAACTGAGTACGACTAACTGCTACATATAATCAAAAAATATATATAAGCAAATATATATTATACAATATAATGTAAAGTAGTAACTGGTACTGCTGCTGCTGCTGCTGTAAATAATATCACTGTATCATCAATGAAATCACTGAAAGTCCTTAAACTTAAAACGTATTAAAGAATCAGTCAGTCAACAAGAAGAACCGAAGCAACAGATCTACCTATACAACACAATGTAGACACCTATCAAGTACCCCTAATAGCCAGAACCTATCAATCAAACAACACGTATACTTACTCAACTATAAATATGTATACTTCTAGTTCCTTAGTGCTTTATACCTACTACTTCAAATGTACAAGTCACTCCAGGCAGTTACTTCTGTACTTATATTTTTCACTTACCTTCAAATTTTATAGGTAAATATCTGCGACAGCAAAGTTCTGTGGAACTTTACGAGTAAAAGAGTATTTGTCGTGTCTCTGGTCTTTGCAACAATCCTAACTTACAGGAGTGGGGATTGGGCAGTTATGAATCTATTTATTATGTACACAATAATATGCAAATTATTTCAATGTACAAATATCAACACAATGTATTTTATTACAAAGTCAAATATAATATATATCAATTACAAACAGTAGCAACTGTTTACTTTTCTACCTTTGTGTCACACTTTTTTTAAATTTTAATGTAAGTTAACTAACTGTAAATGTGTTCGAAAGCTAATTACATAATCAAATTCTGAATGAAAATTTACAGTTATTTCAACAAAATTTTACAACAAAAATTTAATTCCAAATACAGCTAATATGTATGAGATAACTTTTCATAATTTACGGAAAAAGAACAAAGAAAGTTATTTTAAAAAAAAATTCAAGTGACACAATCAATGTTTATATATACACAGTTCAAATACAAATAAAGAATATATTCAATGTCAATCAACTAATTAGTATGTATCAAAAGTTTTACTAAATGATATTTAATTATAAAGTCAAAACACACACCGGTACATTAAATACAACTCAGTTTAAAAGTAACATCTATTGTCAATCGGTAATCACTGAGGTATAGCGACATCTACGGGTATCGTGTATTGCCAAAATACGAATAATTCTTCATTCTCTTCATTATTCACCAAAAACGTCTGATCTACCAAAAAAAACAACTTTGGGCGCCATTATAATAGTCTTGTTTTACGGGGGTTCCATAAACGACAAGTCTAGGGTTCTTTGACATCACTTTATTATACAAGTAAACATAGGGAAAATAACCCTGCAATAACAATAGCATATAATTATCACATTTATCAATATCACAGTCTTATTAAAGTCTTATACTAGAATCATACAAATAGTATACTGGTGTAATTAACAATGTTACAAGATCGTATGAAATATTCTATTCCATATACAATAAACTATACTGAGTATCAAGAATGCAGTGACATTCATAATATGCAACAAACTTGCAATTATATTTCTAAATACAAATACATATATCTGATAAGTCGTATCAAATAGCATATCATTATTATCAACCAAGCGTATTATAAACAAGTCGAATGTATCGTACTTCATAAACGAGTGTCATTCATAAAACCTTTATCATATGAAGGTTATTAACTGTTCACTATAGTATTCTAGCTATTAAGTTCGTATGCACTACTGTAATGTTTAATATCTATTATCGAACTCAAATTAACTGACATATAGGTACAATATAATATGACCCTTACCAATCTGTGGAACCAGGTTATATATCTAACATCTACAGTACAACCAGTGTGTTACAGGAACATCATAATCTATGTGTTCTGAAAATAATACACAATAGTAAATACTAGGATCTAGGAAAATAATGATCCCTTATACAAAATACAACATATTAAAGACTGATATAATAAAATCAAGCTATTACACAAAATTACCATATATGGCAATATTAACGCAATTGTCAATGTGACGTCATAGATCCATAACTGAAAGGTCAAGGTCACTTTCAAAATCATTCGTAAATCTCCCTTTCTACATCCAAACTACAGATTCAAATCATATATTCTCAGATTAATACATAAACTATCTTACTCCTATCATATCTAAGGTCTATGGGCATACTTACCTATAAACGGGCAGAATTGTATAGCATGCACTGCATACGCCTTTCATACACCACAAAGAACATAAAATGTACTTACCAGATATAAAGAATGTAATTTCCAATAACTACAGTGATTCCAAAGTATGGAAACTTCAGTGAGTACTAACGAGCACTAAATAGAATGTCTCTATATAAGTTTCATCACTATATACGGTTTAAATAAGAAGTAAATATTAAATATGTATGTCTCCAATTTTCAAGAATTAACCACCATTACTTCTTTTCCAAAATCTGAGGTGTGTCCAGAATGACCAATAAGAACTGACCATAAAGATAAACAAGGTGTGACAATTAATTTACTAATGAGTTGGACGGGTAGATACAATTACAACTTTGCTCAATGAAGTATGACTGACTAGAACTTTCATACAATTTATAGTGTAAAGAGATAATAAACTATAAATCAAAAGATCAAATGATCAGAGTGAATGAATAAAGTATAATATCTGGCATGTAATAAAATGTAAAATACTAATAAATGAAATATGTAAAAATATACTCTGTCACATTAAGATTGTATGCAAAAAGATGCTGAATATCTCTTTAGAAAAGGTTGTGATAAAAATTGCATTATACCTCAACTGGTCTATCCTACTACATTTCAAATGGTTGATTATACCTGAATTGATGTATAATCCACCAATTAATGTTATTCCTGACCTGGCTATTAGACAACTTAAGATACATCGACATTCATGACATTAACGTGCCAAAGGGACTAGGTACCGTATAATCTACGGGGTTATTTTTCCCTAGTCCGAGATTACTCTGACGTCCAACGGCTGTTTTGCCAGACAAGCTGGGGCCGTGGCTCCCACGGCCCAGCTTGTCTGGCAAAACAGTCGTTGGACGTCAGAGTAATCTCGGACCATTTTTTCCCAATCCTTTATGAAAATTGGTGGTAATAAAAAACGATGTTTGATCATGCATGTTGCGTATTTTTTACATGAAGTGTTAGCTTACCTCACCAAAATATGAGATTTTTTTTATGTTCACCGGAAATCTTCCTAATTTATAAAACACTCATCATATCGGTCTGGACATGCAAAATCTCCGGCCTCTTAACTATAACTTCAAATCTTTATTGTACGTAAATGTGAGCATATATTAGACAAACATTCTCAATCTATCACAGTATACATAATAATATAAAAATAATGAATTATTTATTTAACTCAGTTAGAACTAGTCAAATTTCCATTGAAGCCCTGAAACAAAAATACATGTATACAGTTAACATTAAAATACAATAATTAATTAAAAGTTTTCATAATCATACAATAAAAGAAAATGAATAATTTAACTTGCAAAGAATTTTCAAGAAAATGATTGTAACAATGTTTCTTGAATAATTCCACATTCCGAATGTTTTTGTCATTGTCAGAGAACGGTATAAACTATTCCATGCCTTAATTGCCGGGTTACAGAATAATGAAAAGATTTCTTCAACGGCAGGGGTATCATTCTGAAGAAAAAAAAATGAGTGTCATCCTTCCTTTCATCGAGTTCTGCATTATCAACAACAGTCAAAAACAAAAACTGGAGGGTCACCTCAGGAACCTTTTCTTCGTCTGTCCACTATATTTCAACGGTTAACCTCCCCCCCCCCCCCCCCCCCCACACACACCCGAGCGTCAACTGATACGGGACATTACCGTTTATTCATATAATTGTAATTGAAACAAGTAACTTGTGTAAAATTGAAGACCTGTTAATTTTTTTCTAATTAATTCTGTCATTCTCAATTTTGCACCGCCATGCATGGCTAAAACAGAAAAATACCAACAGATAAATAACAGTACACAAAACACATCATTGAAAAATAAAGACTGAACAACACGAAACCCCACCACAAACTGGAGGTGATCTAGGGTGCTTCGGAAGGGTAAACAGATCCTACTGCACTTGGGACATCCGTTGTGTCGCTTATGTAAGTAAAACCCCGTTAATAAGTTTAAATTGGTAGATCACAATTAATTTGCCGCAGGACGTTAAGCAGCCATCCATCATCATCATCACCGTATACCTTTCAAAAAATAACCAATATTTTCTTTTTTAAATACTTTTTTTCAATGCATGGCATAATGTAAGCCGACTTTACCGGTTACGTGTAAAAATAATTGGACATTTTAGTTAGGGTATTTAGAAAATACATTTAAAGGGTTTGAAAATAAAAGTTACCGTATGTTGCTACGACAATTACAAGGCGCAATCAACTGTACTGTGAAGTGATATCTCCAGTTTTATAGAAGTTTTTTCTCAACTTTATTCAACGATGATTTCTGAACTTAGGGTTACTGTAAGATGAAAAGAGGAGTAAGTACAAAGTGGGCAATTAGTCAAAGAATACAAACATTCTTTGCAAAAAAAAGGAAGACCAATTGACATGATTGACTAACAGCAGTTCACATAACACATTACAGAAAACCAAAGATTGAGATAAAGAAGCGACAACACAGTCAAATCACGTGTTAAACCTTTAAATTTAAACAGATGGGAACACTGCATATCTCTTTGTTGACATAATGATATGTCAGCTCAACCAGTACACGTTGCACTATACTGTACTAACTTTTAAAAAACTGCATAACTAATAGCGACCATTCAGTGTATAATTCAATACAAGGTATAAAAAGGGCATATGAAATCAACGGTCTAAAAGATCTTGCTACTAACACCTAAGGTATGTCAATACTAGTATCATCCAAACGGGTTGTACTAAAAAAAACTGACAAATAGACACAGTAAGAACCGAAAAAAAGACTGACAAATAGACCCAGTTAGTACCGAAAAAAGACGGGGAAATAGACACAGTTAGGACCGACCCGATATGTAAATAGAACTTTGTGATATGTTCAAAGATTGCGAAAATCATTGACTATTAATTAAACCGTCATGTGATGGCTGATCATGGTAAAACTCGTGCGTAATGTTTTAATGAAAAATCTATATCTATTCTTGAACTATAAATTTTCCAAAAGTTTGTTATTGTATTTTCAAAAAATCTCCTCTGTAAAGATATGTGTGTCGATTTTAACATCCATGTTGCTTAGGTAACGGATATAGAAAGTAGAATATAAAACAATAATGCTTTAACCATCTTGGTCATGGTGTTTCTACTTTGTCTTTGCTCTAATGATTCTTTAGTTCCATATTTCAATTAGATTGTGAGTGTCCGTCTTTATTTTCTTTATTATTTTGATGTAATCAAATAATTTCTTTACGTACGATGTTACGTCCATAGATTTTTAAAAAGTAAAAAAGTTAACATACATTAAATCTGATAATATGCAGGATCATACGACAAGCAAAGTATCATATGTTAGTGAATAGAAGCAGGAGATATGATTAACATACAATTCTGGACAAATGCTTTCGATTATCATGTCAGATACATTACCGAAATAATACCATCAAAATTTCGCTTTACATTGCCAGTAACGTGGTAACATGTACTAGTACTCATTTTGTTGAAATCGCAAGCATCGTTACGTTAAGTCAGTAACGTTAAGAAATTCTAAGTTTTATTGATAACTTCTAGACAGACCCCGGAAACAGACACTCAGCTGGAAATGTTCAAGTAACACCGAGAGTGTTTTCAGTTTTTCTTGTCTCCATCGGATTTACAAAAAAGCAAGAGTATGTACGATGATGTTAAATAATTGTCCAACTATAACGACAGTGTGCTGTATTCATGTGTGTCCGTTAATTATAACACCAAATGCTAAGTGACACCGTTGACCGCTAACATGTCATATCAAAGAGAAATACCAAAGAGAAAGTACTTAATCAATCGTAAGTCTTTATAGTTCATTGGAAATAAGAAGATGTGGTATGAGCGCCAATGAAACAACACTCCATCCAAGTCACAATCAATTCAAACAGGAAAACCAACGGTCTAATCAATATAAAAAACGAGAAACGAGATTTACACTTATGAACCACATCAACAAACGACAACCACTGAACAACAGGTTCCTGACGTAGGACAGGTGCAAACATTGTCTTAGTAAGTGATTTTGTACTTTGTTTTGTCTAGTTTTGGAGGTAATTTGTTTAATATATTGGTCCACTATTTGTGTCGTACCAATTCACCTGCAGACATGTGGCAAAAGCTTGGATAAGTGCAATGCTATGATTATACGTCATTCATTTTTCTTTTTCTTCAAAATAATCTGACCTTATTAATATTGACAAATTATCGACAAATAACAAATAAGTAGATGTGGTTTGATAACAAGTGAGACAGCTATCCATCAAAAACCTATTAACAAAGATCGATGTAACAAATTACAGGTCGCCAAACGACCTTCAAAAATAAGACTTTCTTTGACATTGTGAACATGTATTTATATCAAAAGTAACTGCAGAATGATATAGACTGTCATCATGCCTGTTTTGTTGGAAAGTTGGAATACTTAAAGAACAGCTTTTATATATTTATTAGGCTGTGTTGCTATAGAAGTTAAAAGAACAAAGTGTATGTTTAAGTTAGGTTGATTTTGTAAGCACTTTATATTTTTTTTTACAAACTTTGCAGACATCTCATTCGTTCAGGTATTTCACATCCAATCTTTTATGGTAATATTCTATACAAAGCACAAAAATGTCGTCATTCATATCAAAAGCTAACCAAACCTTTAAACAGACTTATTCAGAAGGGATATAGTTACGATACTGTTGTTAGGTCATTGAAGACGGCATATTTTTGGATTAATATTGATTCACTCATAGGGTCTTTGCATCGGAAATAAACACATTTATTCTAAACCCAGTTGTTTTCTGACATCGGACTCGGACTTCTTTTAAACTTAGTATTACTGTGTGTGTGTTTGTTTATTCTACACTGGCTAGAGGGGTATAGGGGGATTCCGGGAGTGTTGAGAACTCACAAAACATGTTTAACCCGTTGCATTTTTGCGCCTGTCCCAAGTCAGGAGCCTCTGGCCTTTGTTATTCGCGTATGTTTATTTTTTTTAATTTTAGTTTTATTATATGTTTCGGAGTTTACATATTTTAAATGACGTCCATTTTTACTGAACTAGTACACATTTTTGTTTAGAGGCAAGCTGAAGTCCGCCTCCGGGTGCGGGATTTTCTCGCTGTGTTGAAGACCCATTGGTGGCCTTGGACTGTTGTTGCTCTTTGGTCTGGTTGTTGTCTCGTTGACAAATTCCCCATTTCCATTCTCAATTTTATTTTTATTTTGGATAGAATGATAAAAGTAAAATTGAGAATGGAAATGGGGAATGTGTCAAAGAGACAACAACCCGACCATAGAACAGACAACAACAGAAGGTCACCAACAGGTCTTCAATGTAGCGAGAAATTCCCGCACCCGGAGGCGTCCTTCAGCTGGCCCCTAAACAAATATATATACTAGTTCAGTGATAGTGTATTTTTGATTGAAGACAACAATAGTGTACCGATCAAATACATAAGCTCTCTTGGGTCAGATAAAAATGTATGCCAATTTACATTCATTACAAATGTCACAATCAGGATACTGATCAGACGACTTATCTTATTATTCTAGTATCGAAATAAAATCATGTCGCTAGCAATAGTTTGTTGAGAAAAAAAAAAATCATTGTTCAACGTGTTCACGATGGTCACATAAAAATTTAAGTAGTTGGAAATTGAAACAGTTTTGGGAAATGCTTTACAAATCGTGATAGACTACTATAAGACTGTGATATTTTTTTAAATGACGTAAAGGCTTATTGT